CAGCACTTTCACAGCATCATCTTTTAAGATTTGAAATAGCTCAACTGGAATTCCATTATCTCCACTAGCTTTGTTCATAGTGATGCTTCCTAAGGCCCACTTGACTTCACATTCCAGGATGTCTGGTTCTAGGCGAGTGATCACACCATCGTGGTTATCTGGGTCATGGAGATCTTTTTTTTATAGTTCTTCTGTGTATTCTTGCCACCTCTTCTTAATATCTTCTGCTTCTGTTAGGTCCATACCATTTCTGTCCTTTATTGTGCCCATTTTTTGCATGAAATATTCCCTTGGTATCTCTAATTTTCTTGAAGAGATCTCTAGTATTTCCCATTCTACTGTTTTCCTCTATTTCTTTGCATTGATCACTAAGGAAGGCTTTCTTATCTCTCCTTGCTATTCTTTGGAATTCTGAAATCAAAGAGGTATATCTTTCCTTTTCTTCTTTGGCTTTCACTTCTTTTCACAGCTATTTGTAAGGCCTTCTCAGACAACCATTTTGCCTTTTTGCATTTCTTTTTCTTGGGGACAGTCTTGATCACTGCCTCCTGTACAATGTCACAAACCTCCGTCCATAGTTCTTCAGGCACTCTATCAGATCTAATCCCTTGAATATATTTGTTACTTTCACTGTATAATCATAAGGGACTTGATTTAGGTCATACCTGAATGATCTAGTGGTTTTCCCTACTTTCTTCAATTTAAGTCTGAATTTGGCAATAAGGAGTTCACGATCTGAGTCACTGTCAGCTCCCGGTCTTGTTTTTGCCGACTGTATAGAGCTTCTCCATCTTTGGCTGCAAAGAATATAATCAATCTGATTTTGGTTTTGACCATCTGGTGATGTCCATGTGTAGAGTCTTCTCTTGTATTGTTGGAAGAGGGTGTTTGCGATGACCAATGCATTCTCTTGGCAAAACTCTAAATTTGCCTGTTACTCCAGGTATTTCTTAACTTCCTACTTTTGCATTCCAGTCTCCTATAATGAAAAGGACATCTTTTTGGGTGTTAGTTCTAGAAGGTCTTGTAGGTCTTCATAGAACCATTCAACTTCAGCTTCTTCAGCATTATTGGTCAGGGCATAGACTGGACTTAGACTTGGACTACTGTGATACTGAATGGTTTGCCTTGGAAACAAACAGAGACCATTCTGTCGTTTTTGAGATTGCATCCAAGTACTGCATTTCAGACTCCTGTTGACTATGAGGGCTACTCCATTTCTTCTAAGGGATTCTTGCCCACAGTAGTAGATATAATGGTCATCTGAGTTAAATTCACCCATTCCAGTCCATTTTAGTTCACTGATTCCTAAAATGTCGATGTTCACTCTTGCCATCTCCTGTTTGACCACTTCCAATTTCCCTTGATTCGTGGACCTAACAATATTGCAGGTTCCTATGCAATATTGTTCTTCACAGCATCAGAATTTACTTCCATCACCAGTCACATCCACAACTGGGTGGTGTTTTTGTTTTGGCTCTGTCTCTTCATTCTTTCTGGAGTTATTTCTCCACTGATCTCCAGTAGCATATTGGGCACCTACCAACCTGGGGAGTTCATCTTCCAGTGTCCTATCTTTTTGTCTTTCCATACTGTTCATGGGGTTCTCAAGACAAGAATACTGAAGTGGTTTGCCATTCCCTTCTCCATGGACCATATTTTGTCAGAGCTTTCCACCATGACCTGTCTGTCTTGGGTGGCCCTACACAACATGGCTCATAGTTTCATTGAGTTAGACAAGGCTATGGTCCATGTGATCAGATTGGTTAGTTTTCTGTGATTGTGGTTTTCATTCTGTCTGTCCTCTGTTGGAGAAGGATAAGAGGCTTATGGAATCTTCCTGATGGGAGAGACTGACTGAGGGGGAAACTAGGTCTTGTTCTGATGAGCAGGGCCATGCTCAGTAAATCTTAAATCCAATTTTCTGTTGATGGGTGGGGCTGTGTTCCCTCTTTGTTGTTTTATCTGAGGCCAAACTATGGTGGAGGTAATGAAGATAATGGTGACCTCCTTCAAAAGGTCCCATGCACGCACTGCTGCATTCAGTGCCCCCAACTCCACAGCAGGCCACCGCCGACCCACGCCTCCACCAGAGACTCCTGGACACTAACGGGCAAGTCTGGGTCAGTCTCTTGTGTGGTCACTGCTCCTTTCTCCTGGGTCCTGGTGTGCACAAGGTTTTGTTTGTGCCCTCCAAGACTCTGTTTCCCCAGTCCTGTGTAAGCTCTGGTGGCTCTATGGTGGGGTTAATGGTAACCTCCTCCAAGAGGGCTTATGCCAGACCCAGGTCTACTGAGCCCAGAGCCCCTGCCCCTGCAGCAGTCCACTGCTGACCCGTACCCCACAGGAGACACTCAAACACAGTTCTGTCTTAGTCTCTGTCGGGTCTCTGTGTCCTGGTGCGCCCAAGGTTTGTTTGAACCCTCTGAGCATCTCTGGTGGGTATGGGGTCTGATTCTAAATGCAATTTCATGATTTCACCCCTCCTACCATCTTGCTGAGATGTCTCCTTTGCCCTTAGAAGTGGGGTATCTCCTCAAAGTCGCTCCAGCACCACGCAGCCTCCACTCCAGATCTAGATCTTTCTAAGTATTATTTAACATGAGCACGTGAAAAAAAAATGAAATATAATATATGGACTTGGAGTCCTGAAGAAGTCCTGCCAGGAACTAGAGGCTCACTCACTGCAGTCAGGGCCTCAGGAAGCAGTTCCCAGGCCTCCACCCTCCACTGGATTTCCCAGCTGGGGGTTGAGACTTCTGGGAGCAGGCAAATCTCCCCAAAGCAGAGAAGCCACTGCCCAGCAGCTCTGACTTCATGAATAGCAGCCCACTGACTCCTCACAATGGGGCCTGGAATGACCCCTTCAGAATGTCTTCCCTGGCTTTGTCTGGGGGCCCAGTTGAAATGTGATGTTACAGGATGTGGGGAGATGAACTTGTACTTTGGGGAGCCACTGGCCCTTCTGGCAAAGTGTGATGGGCCTCTATTCCCTCCTTTCTAGAGCATTTTTGCTTTTCTGGATTCTGTCTGGTTCCTGCCCCAAATGAGGGCTCAGATTGACAGCACAGAGACCCAGGGCTGCCCCAGGCCCAGGGACAAAGAGCCCTGAGGGACAGCCTGTGAGGTCCAGAGCCCTAGCCCACTGTCTGGAGTATTCGGGGCTTCTTGAGGGAAGGCCATGGCCTGCCAGCTGGCTGGTCACCCTGAGCAAAGCCCTGCCTAACTAGGGCCTCTTTTCCCCATCCTGTAAAGCAGAAATAGGGTGAACCTGAAGATGTCTTAGATTCCATTTAATTCCAAATTCTGTCTGATGACTCTGGGCCCCTCAAGTCCCCAGATGTCCCTCAAGGCCTCTTGAGCAACCTCAGAATTTCCTATTATGAGTTGTTCCCCCCACAAAGCTCTAAGTATTGAGGGACGAGGTATGAGGCAGGCATGAGGCGGGGCTGCTGAGCAATGCTGGCAGGACAGCAGTTCTGCCACAGCCACAGGGCCTAGCTGTCAGTAACTGCAGACACTGAAGGTGATCGCATGAACCATGTGGAAGGGCCCTTCTTCTCTCTGCTCCCAGGTGTCAGCCCAGAGCTGGGTGCCTGCTGGTAGTAGGGGTCACTATAAGAATTCAAGAGGCCAGAGGAGAGCAGGGACCCCCAGCCAGGCATCAGCGGTTCCCTTTGTTGATCTACCATCATTTTGCTAAGTTGGCAACTTTCTGACATTGCTTCTGTGGCTGCTGCCACTTCCAGTCACTAGTCCCCTCTTTTCATGTGGCTTCTGCTGCTTCCTAGCTTCTGTTTTCTCACTCCATTTCTCTGCCCCTGGCAGTCAACTCTCTCTGTACATATCACAGTCAAGTGAAGTCTTGGCTTTCAGTCAAGACCGTAGTCTGATCCATACAAGAGCTATCCTGTGCCTAGGCATCCTCATTAACTCCGTTCAGTAGTGGCCAAGTTGGAGGGTCACCAGGTCATTTTGTTCAGAAAAGTATGGCCGGCACATGATGGCCACTCTGGAAGGTCTAGGGGCTGGCAGGGCTCTGGGATGGCCCAGAAGGACCCAGCCCCCACTGGGAGGCAATAAGACCCTGCCTCTGAGGCTGCCATGGTCCTGGAGACCAGAACTCCAGCCTCGCTGGGGACTTCTGGGAGAATGATCCTCCAATGGGCCGAGGGCAGCTGAGTTCCTGGTCAGACTGAGAACACAGGGAGGAACACAACACGCGGCCTGGTTCTCCAGGTGCTCAGAGTCTAGAGACAGTGATCAGATCCAAACGTGCGAACCTCAACTAAACGTTAACAGTAGAATGTAGGCCCTTTGGGAGCTTGGAGCCTGGAGCAGGGCTGTCTGTGCTCAGCTAGGGGACAAAAGAGGAAGAAGAAATTTGGAGGGACATGGGCTGGCAGAGAGAAGACATGTGAGGTACAGAGAAGCGGAAGGTGAGAAGAGTTACCCTCAGAAAGCAACTTGGAGCTGGATCACAGGACTCGGGGGTTGTCTTTCCCAAGGGGCCACAGAAACCAGAGGATAATGAGGAAGGAGTCAACCATGGAGATCCTAGTCTCAGGGTGTTAAGTCTGGTTTTGGGCCCTGGCTGCCTGGAGAAGAGAGGGGAGATAACTGATCCAGAGGCCAGACCAGAGGCCGTGCCTGTGATGTGGTGACGATGCTGAGATGCCTTTTGCTTTAAATGTGAGTCCATATTCCATCATAACGCCCCCTCCCAGGGGGTCTCTGGGCCCGTTTGTCAATGCAATGCTTCTGGCTTCCCCAGGGGCCTCCATGTCCTGCGGCCGCTGGGTGTGAAGTCTAACACTGTGGATGATACCCACCGGGCTACCTTGGTACAAGTAGATCCAGGCCCATCCACCCATGCCCAGCTTCCCGGTGGAACCTCCCACCTCCTGCTCCTCCCACCCCGATGCAGGTCGATGACCCCATTTGGGAAAACATCAGGCTTGCTCATATAAGGAGCCCGGGCCAGGCCAGCATGCTCAGCAATGGCGTTGACTCAGTGGCCCTGCCTCATCTTGACCCTGCTCTCAGGCTTGGCAGTCTCTGGCTTCCCTAGAAACCCATCCCGGCTGCTTGGGGTAAGTCTGCCCCTTCTTCACCAACAGGCAGGCAGGGGGGCCACGCTGGGTGGTCCTCTGTAGAATGAGGAGGAGGCAGAGGCTGGGCAGTGAGCTGCAAGGAACATGGCAGGGTGTGGGGGGACCCGGGCCCCAGACCTGCTGTCAAACCTGATGAGACAGCTTCCCCAGGGGAGCTTAAATCTCCAGGGCCTCTGTTTGCTGACCTGTCAGGTGGGTGATGCACCACGATCAGATCACCTCCCTGAGGGGCTCTGAGGTTCATATATAGACAAGGGGAGAGGCCTCTAGGAATGGCCAGGCTGAGCTGCATGGGGTACAGTGGTGGTGGGGTCTGGAGGAGTCTTGGGGGGCCTGGGGCCTAGGGAGGGGCAGAGTGAGTCGGGGTATATGGTGCAGGGGGAGAGCACTGACTTTGGTCCTCCCTGACATGCTCCCCTAGACCTCCCCCCTGGCCCTCAGTTTCCCCATCTACTCAGAGCCCTTCCTACTCTGACATGTGGCTCTGCTTGGGTCCTCTGTCCGGAGGCCCCTCAAGGTGCGTGTGTGTGTTGGGGGAGGTGGTCACTGCTGAACCTTGGCCTCGGCCCAGAGCCTCTACTCAGGCCACAGTAGCCTTGACCTTGGCCCAGTCCCTGTGTTTGTCTTTGTTTTTTCCAGAAACGGAGCCTCCCGGAAGGGGTGAGAACTTTCACAAGAGACGGGGCAGGGCAGAGTTGGTTGCCCAACAGCGGAAGAAGTGGGCCACAAGGGAAGGTCCCTCCAGCTGGCAAACCCCCTCATGGCCCCCTGCCCTGGCAGACCCCCGCTGCCTCCAGAGCCCTGGGAGAGAGCTTCAGGGAACCATGCCCCTCGGACTCGCTGATGCAATAGAGGACCACCCCTCCACGGGTCCTTCTTCCCAGAAACACTTACTGAGCATTTGTCAGACCCCATGCATGGGGCAGGAGACACACAGTGAATGGCCCTGTGATGCCTTCACGAAGCATCTTTATATCCATGTTCAATCCAGATGTTTCTCTAGAACATCCCTTGGCCCATTGTCCCATTGGAAAGAGGGTGTTGGGGGGCACGAAGGCCCTCCCAATGCATCACCCTAGATGCAGGAAATAAGGGCCTGTTTGGGAAACAGAACCGGGCAGCTACTGGACACAGGGAGCAGACTGGAGTGTGTGTGGACATGCTCTTTCTAAGCTGAGCTCTGGAAGATGAGCGGGAAGAGCTAGGAGCCAGCATGGCAGGGGCACAGACTGAGCAGAGGAGGCAGGACCTGCCCGGAGGCCCCCAGAGCCATGGGGAAGGCTGTCCTGGGGGTGGTAGGGAGAATAGAAGGGCTTTAAACAGGAGAAGCACAGGTCAGATTTGAGTTTTTACACCATCTCACTGGCTACAGCTGCATGTAAACCAGATTACAGAGCTAAGAAGGCAGAGTGGCCATCACAACAGTGGTGGCCAATTACAGGTAGCGACCAAAGATAACTGCCCGGGCTTCTGATGTGTGTGACTGGGAGACTGGACAGGCCACTTACCAGGCAGGAGCTTTGAAGCCCACAAAGGGGAGCTTGAAGGGGAGCAGCCAGGAGGAGGTCCTGGTTTCCAGGGGCCTCAGGCTGGCTGGTCACCGTCCGCTGATACACTGTCCCTCTCCTGCAGGCGGTCGACGGCATCGAAGTCTACAGCACCAAAGTCAACTGCAAGGTGACCTCCCGCTTCGCTCACAATGTCGTCACCACCAGGGCCGTCAACCACGCAAACACTGCCAAGGAGGTGTCCTTCGACGTGGAGCTGCCCAAGACCGCCTTCATCACCAACTTCACCTTGTGAGTGTCACCACAGCTTCTGGCTCTGGGTGGGGAGGGGAGTCTGGCTCAGCCTGAGCCCCCCTTTCCCCAACTCTCTATCTCTGCAGGACCATCGATGGCGTTACCTACCCTGGGAACATCAAGGAGAAGGAAGTTGCCGAGAAGCAGTATGAGAAGGCTGTGTCCCAGGGCAAGACAGCTGGCCTGGTCAAGTAAGTGTGGACCCCCCGGCGTTGGCGAGAATGTCAGGGCTGGGAGGGCCCTCAGAGGCACTATCAAGGGAACAGCAGCTATAGTTGTCACGTGGCGAAATGTGCTATAACTCTGACCACATTATCTTACTTTGAAGTTGAGGCAACTGAGGCTCAGCATGGGTAGGGGGCTCCCCCAGGAGGAAGGGACTGGAAGCCAAAGGCCTAGGAAACAGGGGGCTGTGCTCTTTCTGGGGCAGTCACTGTTTCTCATCCCCATTCAGGGCCTCTGGGAGGAAGCTGGAGAAATTCACGGTCTCAGTCAATGTGGCTGCAGGCAGCAAGGTCACTTTTGAGCTAACCTATGAGGAGCTGCTCAAGAGGCATAAGGGCAAGTACGAGATGTACCTCAAGGTCCAGCCCAAGCAACTGGTCAAGCACTTTGAGGTAATCGGCCACTCGCTCGCAGCGCCTGAGGGTCTGGGGTGCCAGGAAGGGCCCTGGGCAGAGCCCACAGCAGGAGTGTAGGAGCCCAGGCCCTAGCACCCGGCCAAGGAGGCGTGGGGGAACTACAGTGGTGCTGCCCACAGCACCTGGGCCCAAGGGAGGAGGCCAGGCTGCGCCTGGGCCATCCAGGTTGGGTGCTGGGTCCTTGGGGGCAACATCACCAAGTGTCTCTGTAATGCTGGCAACTGGTTACTTGGGCATTTTTACCTACATCAGAGTGCAAAGCCAAAGGAAATGCTTTTAGTGGTAGACTCTGGGGCACCATATGGCAGGGAGTGGAAGAACTTTGGGGTCAGAATGCTGCTGCTGCTAAGTCACTTCAGCTGTGTCCGACTCTCTGCGACCCCATAGATGGCAGCCCACCAGGCTCCCCCCTCCCTGGGATTCTCCAGGCAAGAACACTGGAGTGGGTTGCCATTTCCTTCTCCAATGCATGAAAGTGAAAAGTGAAAGTGAAGTCGCTCAGTCGTGTCTGACTCTTAGCAACCCCATGGACTGCAGCCTACCTGGCTCCTCCATCCGTGGGATTTTCCAGGCAAGAGTACTGGAGTGGGGTGCCATTGCCTTCTCCGTGGGGTCAGAGTACCCAGCTGCAAACCCATGTGGTCATCTTCTTGCTGGGAGGCAGCAGGCTTGGCTGTCACAGAGTTGTCCTAGCAGCTGGTCCCTGCACCACACTGACCCATCTCCTCACCCTTGTTGTCCTGGAGACTGGGCTCGGCACCTTCACTAGGTGACATCTCCTGACACTTGGCCATTTCAGATCACGGCAGACATCTTCGAACCTCAGGGCATCAGTACCCTGGATGCTGAAGCCTCATTCATCACCAATGACCTCTTGGGCAGCGCCCTCACCAAGTCCTTCTCAGGGAAAAAGGTGGTATAGATGCCTCTGGGGCCTGGGGGGAGGGAGCAGGGGCAGGAACATTGAGTCTAGCAAGGTGAGTCTGAAACTGGGGGTTTGGCAGATGCAAGGTAGAGAGGGAGAGAGTGAGAGTGTGTGTGTGTGTGTGTAGGTATGAGGCGGGGGTCAGGGAGAGGCAGAAGTCTGCAACATCCCCTTTCTCCTAGGCCACCTGGGTCAGCAGTGAGGATGCTGGAGGCAGGGGGCTGCTTGCTGGTGATGATGGCTGCCAGAGGAACTGGGGTCTCAACTGCACTGGGGAGGGGACAGGGAAACCATTTATAAAGCCTGATCCCATTTCACTTTGGGAAAGTAGGCAGGGCAGGCTACTGGTCCCTGTTTTACAGAGAGGGAGACAGAGACCTGAGGGAGTTTTTCAGATCTGACTCCACTCGAGTGGTGAAGAAGAAAGGGAAATTCGTTCTTGGTGCTCGGGGTTGGCTCTGGGCCCCAAGGTCCCCAGCAATTCCAGGAATCTTGCTGATCATGGGTAGTGGATGAATACATGTTTACAAGGACAGCAAACCTCAGTCAGGACTCCTAGGGTGAGGCTCGAGGAGCACACACTCGGAGGGCTGCTGACCTCTGCAGGCCGTGTCCCCGCCCAGGGCCCCCTCCTCACTCTCTACTCTGCCCCTTCCTTGCTCCTCTTGACAAAAAGCACACAGTGTCACCCAACGTGAAGTTCCTTTTCATGGTGCAGAATTCTCCTCCCTATGTGGCTTCCAAGTGCAGGCAGAGCTAAGGGACTTCTGAGGCCCAGTGAACCAGGAGAGTGAAAGCCTGGCTCAGATAAGGCCTCTACCCTCCAAGGGGCTCCTGATCTCCGAGGGGGAGAGAGGTGCTCAGGGAGGCCAGAGCACCCCAGAGGGTGGCAGGACTCAGGCACTTTGCTGAGTGCCCAGGGCAGCCCCAGGCTGAGGTCTGCAGAGAGCAGGCCCTGCCCAAGCTGAGAGAGGCCCTCCATCACCCTCCCTCAGGGCCATGTGTCCTTCAAACCCAGCTTGGACCAACAGCGTTCCTGCCCAACCTGCACGGACTCCCTCCTCAAAGGAGATTTCATCATCACCTATGATGTGAACAGAGAGTCTCCCGCCAATGTGCAAGTAGGTACCTGCCAACTGGCTTTGCCAGGCTGATCCATCCCCTGCCTTGCTCTGGTGAGCGCTGATGTGTGGAGGGGTTGCAGCTTCGTCCAGTAAAACAACCTTGATCTTCAGCCCAAGCATGAGGTTCCTGCAAGGCATGGGGACCACAGGCAGACCAGAGCCTTGGTGTGGTGCCCCCTGGAGGCGGAGAAAGGACATCTTTATTTGAGGCTGCTAAAAGTCTGGGTTCTATTTGCAAGGGTAGCCAATGTGAGGTTGCTGAAGGGCCACTGGTCTCCAGTCTCTCTCTCCCGTTTTCAGATCGTCAATGGCTACTTTGTGCACTTCTTTGCACCTCAAGGCCTTCCGGTGGTGCCCAAGAGCGTGGTCTTCGTGATTGACGTCAGCGGTTCCATGCATGGTCGGAAAATGGAGCAGGTACTCTCCTTGGTGCAAGAGTGGGTGACAGATGGGAGACACGGGGAGATTTCTTTAAAAGTGGATGAAGCTAATATTCCAGTGAAAGAGAAGGAAGGAGGACAGAATTTTTAAAAGACACAAAGCATCTGCCTCTTTTCCTGCAGACAGCAGGGTCCTGGGCCGGGAACACATCTTATCTGCTTGTCTTCCTCCTTCCCAGACAAAGGATGCCCTCCTCAAAATTCTGGAGGATGTCAAAGAGGATGACTACTTGAATTTCATCCTGTTCAGTGGAGATGTGACCACTTGGAAAGACAGTTTAGTTCAAGCCACTCCTGAGAACATCCAGGAAGCCAGGAAATTTGTGATGGATATTCATGATCGAGGAAGTAAGAACAGAGGGGAGGGAGCTACATCCTGCCGTTCCTCTCTGCCTGAGCAGCCTGTTTCCCTTCTGCCTTGGTGGCAGAGACTCTGCTGGTCTGGGCCCTGCAGATCCAAGCTGCGGGTAGAGGTGGGATGGAGAGTCCTCAGGCTTGACACTGCGGTGTCTTCTCTGTGATCTAGGGAAACCCATTTCTTTCTAACCTGTGATCCCCACAAGGTAATGCCAGCATTACCCAATAAGGTAATGCCACAGAGAATTCTTATGTGTGGCAGTTTCATATGAAAAATGACAAGTGATGTCTATACTGCTCCCCACTCCTCCCTGTGAGAGGGGCTGGTGGTTCATTTGACTGTTCTCCAATCACAATGTGTTCTTACAGTCACCATGTGCATCTATCCTTCCAGCAGCCCTGAGAGGCTGGTCCTTACTCATTTGAAAGATTAAGTCATCCATTCATCACTCACTGAGTCATCCAGTCAATATTTACTGAGTACCACTGCACACAGGCAGGCAGTGTCTTTGGGCGTGTGAGCAGGGACTGTTGTCTCGACTGCCTCCCCCAGCACCCTGAGGATATCCTCTCACGGTGCCATCTGTCTGTGTGCCAGTGACCAACATCAACGACGCGCTGCTGAGGGGCATCAGTATGCTGAACAAGGCCCGGGAGGAGCATACAGTCCCAGAGAGGAGCACCTCCATTATCATCATGTTGACCGACGGGGACGCCAATGTGGGTGAGGCGGCATGTGTGGCTCTTGCTGCCGCTCCTGGCTCTATAGCCAGCGTGCTGCATGACCTTGGGCAGCTCTCCCCAGGGTCCCCTGTGATCTGTGAGTCTCTGAAGGGCTCTGCCCGCCCCAATGTCTGCTCACTGAGGGCTTGTAGTAGCCATGACTCTGCCAGCTCTGCACAGGCAGGGGTCAGATCTCTGCAGACAGAGCTGGTCCAGACAGTCGCTGGGGCTATGGCTGCAGCGTAAATACCTCCTTATCCCACAGGTGAAAGCAGACCTGAAAAAATCCAAGAGAATGTGCGGAATGCCATTGGTGGCAAGTTCCCCTTGTATAACCTGGGCTTTGGAAACAATCTGAATTATAACTTCCTGGAAAATATGGCCCTGGAGAACCATGGGATTGCCCGGCGCATTTATGAGGATTCCGATGCCAACTTGCAGTTGCAGGTGTGCCTTGCCTCACATACCTCTGGGAATGGGGAGCTCCCTACTTCCTCAAGAAGCTGTTCCACTGTGTGACAATTCAAGTTATTAGAAAGAACTTCCTCTCGGGTTGAAATCTATCTCTGGTCACCTCTTACCCATCAGTCCAGGTTCTGATTTTGTCCACAGGCTGCACAGAATAGACCTGCTTCTTCTGTAGGACTGCCATATCAGATACAAGACCTCCAATTAAATAGGAACTTCTCATGAACAGCGAATAACTTTTTAGCAAGCATGCTCCAAACACTGAACAGGACACTGTACTTAGTTTGCTGTGCTGTTCTAAGTCGCTTCAGTCATGTCTAACTTTGTGTGACGCCATGGACTCCAGTCCACCAGGCTCCTCTGTCCATGGGATTCTCCAGGAAGGAATACTGGAGAGGGTTGCCACACCCTACTCCAGGGGATGTTCCTGACCCAGGGATTAAACCCATGTCTCTTATGTCTCCTGCATTGGCAGGAGGGTTCTTTACCACTAGTGCCATCTAAGAAGCCCCTAAACTACATTTAGTTTGCTAGTGCTGCCTTAACAAATAACCACACCTGGGCAGCTTCCACAGGCCACTGTTAGTGTTTGTTGCTCAGTCATGTCCGACTCGACCCTTGTGACCCCGTGGGTTATAGCCTGTCAGGGTTCTCTGTCCATGGAATTCTCCAGGCAAGAATACTGGAGTGGGTTGCCATTCCATTCTCCAGGGGATCTTCCTGACCCAGGGATTGAAGTTGGATCTCCTGTATTTCAGGCGGATTCTTTACCATCTGAGCCACCAGGGAAGCCCCACCTGGCTCCCACAGCAGACATTTATTGTCCCACATGTCTAGAGGCTGGAAGTCCAAGATCAAGGTGCTGGCAGGGTTGGTTCCTTTTGAGAGCTGGGAGGGAAGGCTCTACTCTAGGCCTCTCTCCTTGGCCTGTCGATGGCCATTTTCTCCTTGTATATCTTCATATCATTTTCTCTGTGGGCATGTCTGCCTCTGGATCCAAATTTCCCTCTTTCAAGGACACCAGCTATATCGAATTGGAGTCCATCCTAAACAACTCATTTTAACTTGATCTCTGTAAAGAGCTTTTCTCCAAATTTAAGGTCATGTCCTGAAGTACGGGAGTAAGGATTTTCACCTGTGTATTTTGGGGTTTCAAAATGTGCCCCATGACAGCTGTACCCCTATACTAAAAAGTAACCTGTCATTTTCTTGTTATTCAAATGTAACTCATGACTTATATTTTCATTTGCTAAATCAACTAACCCTCTCCTCCCCAGTATAGGCAGGTGCTTCTCCACCTCTGCAGTGGAACCCCCAACCTTCCTCCTGTTAGTCTCTGGGTCTCCATGCTCTCACTCCACATCAACTTTTTTAGTCAGCCTCCAACCTTTCTCTTCTCCTTTTTACTTTCATTCCAACAAACAAACATTTCTCGAATCCTCTGTGCCAAGAACTCTGTCCTTTCCTTTTCTATTCTTCCCAGTCTCTAATTGGGATGGGGAGGCGTTGAGGAGGAGGTCCCCCAAACTGAAGGACACAGTCAGGGCCAGGTGGAGGTAGAGGTCAGGGGCTGGACTGGCCCAGCTTGAGAGATCCAACCACCTGCAGAGGCACCAGCGGGAACCGGCCCACCCTGTCCTCTCTCTGCCCGCCTTGGTGGCCAGAGATGATCAGGGCCCCCATCTGAACTCTAGGGCTTCTATGAGGAGGTGGCCAACCCACTGCTGACAGGCGTGGAGGTAGAGTACCCTCAGAATGCCATCCTGGACCTCACCCAGAACAGTTACCAGCATTTCTACGATGGCTCTGAGATTGTGGTAGCCGGGCGCCTGGCGGACGAGGACATGAACAGCTTTAAGGCAGATGTGAAAGGCCACGGGGTAAGCTGAGCTGGGGACCTTCTTGTGCGCTGGGGGTGGGTGACCTACCAGTGGGGGCTCAAGCCTCCTGGCTGACGGCCCAGCAGAAGCAGCCTCTGAACCAGGCCCACCTGGTTCCAGGCCACTAGCCTCTCGCCTCCTTCTACCCCCGTCCCAGGCCATCAACGACCTGACCTTCACTGAGGAGGTGGACATGAAGGAGATGGAGAAGGCCCTGCAGGAGCGGGAATACATTTTTGGGGACTACATTGAACGGCTCTGGGCCTACCTCACCATCGAGCAGCTGCTGGACAAACGGTGACCCTGGCCCACCCCTCACACAGCGAGGCCCTGCCCTGACCCCCAGCTCTGCTCCAGCACCTACCAGTGCACCCCACCCCTCCCCCCACCCCGTGCTGGCTATGCTTCAGGAGAGCCCAAGAGGAGGGAACTTTCACCTTGGGAAGTGCACCTCCACGCCCACTGCAGCTGCCCAATTCTCCTTTTGGCTAGGCCCCCATGGCTTGTTTTTCCTGGAACAGAGAGGGTCTGTGAGTCAGGGCTCAGGCAGGGGCCTGGGAACATCTTGAGGGCAGGGATAAGCCTCGGCATCCTGTCCGCTATACCCAGCATGGGCCTACAGAGATGCTGAGGAGGAACATGACCAAAGGCTGAGACCCCAGCCCTCAGCCCCAGGGGGCAGAGCTTGGCCATGCTAGGGGGTGTGTCAGCCTTCTGTTGGGCAGGATTGGCTGGGAAAGATGCTGGCACTCAGCACGTGAACACCATGATGACCATGAACACCATGGCTGTGGCCATGTCGAGCCCCTTGTAACTTTCGCCTGGAGAAACAGGCCCAGAGAGGAATCAGGGCATGTCCGTCTTTCCCAGGGAGCTGATGAAACTGTTTTCTCTGACTGCTAGGGACCCACTGGGAGAGGTTGAGGGGGTCTTGGGTTGACCCTCCCTCCCTGCCTGTCCCCACAGCAAGAATGCCAGGGGTGAGGAGAAGGAGAACCTCACAGCCCAGGCCTTGGAGCTGTCCCTCAAGTACCACTTTGTGACTCCACTGACCTCCATGGTGGTGACCAAGCCTGAGGACAACGAGAACCAGACAGCCATCGCCAACAAGCCCGGGGAAGGTAGGCACAGACGGTGGGGGGCCACAACTTGGATGCCTCCTTCCAGGCCCCTGACCCTGGGTGCCCTGAAGAGAAGCGGGCCTGCTGAGAAAGGCAGGTCTAGGAGGTATCAGAGGAAAACTGGCCAAGGACCTGGGAGGGTGTTATAGAGGAAGGGAAGCCATTAGTGTGAACAGTGGAATGTAGGCATGAATAGGAAGGGCCTTGAAGTCTCTAAAGGGGGCAGGGTGTCCAGGGTCATTTCTGGGAAAGGGACTGAGGCTGCAGGATGGAAGGGTTCAGTTAGATAAGAAGAAGCATTTCCAACCTAAAAGTCCAGCCTGGAGCCAGCACCTGGGGATTGTGAGAGGAAGAGGCCATGAGAGCTGGAGGCTGGGACCAGGCCTGGTCAACCAGACCCCACGAGCGCAGTGTCCTGAGGCCCCTGCAATTGGCACTGGGAGATATGGGAGGTAAAGAGCCAGTCTGGGCCCGGCCTCTGCCTCCAGGAGCTCCTGGTTCCTGTGGGGGCACACATGGCCCAGGCATGGCTGGCCGGCCAGGCAGTAAGCAGTCACAAGGGCCCTGACACGGGGGTTCTGTGGCCTCTAACTCCGTGGTCTCCTCTTCCTCCCTTGCAGGGCCTCTGGATACAGAAGGTGAGCTTCAGCCAGCGGCTGATGACTTTCCCACGAGGAGGTCAAGAGAGGACCAAAGAGACCTTTCCTCCACCACCCAGGAGGGGGCCGCCAGGACACCTGAGCTCAGCTCCCAGCTTTACTGCCAACTCACCGAGGGCCGGGGCAGGGCCCTGTTCACTCTGAGCCTCAGGGTTCTCATCAGCTGACAAAGCGGGGCTTCCCCTGCCCAAGGAGGGACAATTGGGATGAAAGTATTCTGTGACCTGCAAAAATGAGTAACTCAGTTAGTTACTCAGTAACCCCACAGCAAGGCTTTGAGGAAGGCTTCTTACGGTTCCCATTTTACAGCGAGGAAACTGAGGCACGGGGAAGTTAAGTTCCTTTGCTCAAGGACTCGTTCAGCAGGGGGCCCAGCCAGGACTTTGGCCCAGGTGGCCTCATCCTGGCGGCTGCTCTGGAGTTTACAGCACTCTGCGCTTGTCTCATTATGGAACTGGAACCTCATCCCCACACCATCAGGCAGGACCTCCCCAGCCCCTACCGGCCTGCCTTGTCTCTATCCACACGGGCTGTCCTAACCAAGCAGTATATTTCAACTGGGTCACGGCTCTGCCCTCTGAACAGCCCTGTGAGATGTAGTCACTGGTGCACGTGTGTGTGTGGGTGCGTGTCGGTGCATGTTTTGCTACTGAGGACAACAGTCACCTGTGAGCCTCATTCTACTCCAGCCTCGGGACTGTAGTTCAGGGGTGGCAGACAGAATTGCTCATGACAGAGACACTGATGACCTAATGGCTTGCATTTTAGCCACTTGGAAGTGCCGTCCCCCTGCATTAACATTATGCCCCTAATCCCTAGTAGGGATTCCCTGGGGGCACCCCATTTCTGAGGCTTAAACTTAGGGGGTCACATTCCCACCTCTGTCAGCATTGGGGCCCCACTGGGGGCAGCAGCCCCAAGACAGGCAGAAGGCCTGGGGTTCGTGGGAGGGAACCCCCTAGACCTCGCTCACACCTGCCTGTTGGCTTCTTTTTTCAGTGATCCCCTCCATGGCTTACCTGAGTGAGTATGTGTCAGCTGCCACAGAGCACGGCCCTGCGTCGTTCCCCTCGGGAGTCTTTCCTGAATCAGCTCTCTGGAACAGGCAGATGGTTGGGGGGGTCCTCAGGAGACGGGGGGAGGTTACGAGCATTAGGGAGCCTGAAGGTGAGGGGCATGAACCAAACTCTGGGTGGGGGTCTTGGTGCCTCCCCTGGCCTGTTTAGCTCAGCCCTCTCTTTCTTTGGTCCACAGCCAGCTACCAGGTTCCCAAGACACCCTACTATTACGGTGAGTTTCCCAGCTCCCCCAGGTCGAGGCTCTGGACCTAGGGCTGAGCACCTCCTGTCTGTCTAGCAGCCCATCCCACGGGACTGGGAGGCAAGGGGAGGTCCCTGGGACCGTGAGTGATCCCGAGAGCCAGCCTCTTCTCTGCGTGTTCTCAGTGGATGGGGACCCCCACTTCATCATCCAAGTTCCCGAGAAGGACGATGCCATCTGCTTCAATATTGATGAAGACCCAGGCACAGTGCTGCGCCTCATTCAGGACCCTGTCACAGGTGGGGGCCAGGGACTGGGGCCAGGGGCTCTTCCTGGGAAGGCCTGGAGCCCCCCAGGGTGGACTGATGGACCAGGCCCACTCTGCCCCAAATGCACTCACCTTCAAAGGTAGATTCCATCCTGCAGGGGTTTCAGATTCCATCCAGAGCCACAGGCTCACCTCATCTCCCCAGGGCCAGGGGTAATGGGGAGACGGTTAGAGTTAAGGGCTGCCTGGGCCTATGGGCAGGACTCACCCTGGGCCTGAGGAATAGTGTTTCTCTGAACACCACTCCCTGGCCCAGGCAAGGGGCAGATCCACAATGTGGGCCCTCGGCCACCAGTGTGACCCCAACATGTCTAGGAACAGATAGGGCTAGCTCTCAAATCCTGGTCTCTCAACTGAGAGACCTGTGTCCCCCACTGTGTTATCCCTCGGGAGGTCTGGCTAAAGGGGAAGCTGTGAGCCTAGAAGACCAGTCTGGACTTAGGTCTTGCTGGTCTCTCGCTGCCCCGCCCATCTGGCAGGCCTCACAGTTAACGGGCAGATCATTGGTGAGAAGACAGGCAGCTCAGACTCCCAGGCCAGAAGAACTTACTTTGGCAAACTGGGCATTGCCAGTGCTCGGATGGACTTACGGATTGAGGTGACACCGGAGAAGATCACCCTGTGGAATGGGGACGCACCGAGCACGTTCAGCTGGCTGGACATGGTCATGATCACACAGGATGGGTAAAGCCCTGCTGCTGGGTCTCTGAGCGGCAATGGAATGCCTGGTTATCATGGCCACTGGGCCCCACTGCTTACCTTTTCTTCTCTTCTAGGCTATCTGTAATGATCAACAGGAAGAAGAACATGGTGGTCTCCTTTGGAGATGGGGTTACTTTTGTGGTTGTCCTGCATCAGGTGTGGAAGAAAGAGCCTGCCCACCATGACTTCCTTGGCTTCTACGTGGTGGACAGTCGTGGGATGTCAGCACAGACACATGGGCTGCTGGGTATGAAATGTTCAAGCTTCAGGCTGTTCAGGCCACAGGGTGGAGGGAAAAAGCCACGTTGAAAGGGCCTCCTAGTCACCCTGGACCCACCACTCAACACCCCACCCAGCCTTTCTATCAATCCTGGAAGGCCAGTGGCCTTGTCACGTATGGCAGAGGTAGGGTTGACAGTGTGAATGTTTTTATTCCTAGGACAATTCTTCCACCCCTTTGACTTTCAAGTGTCTGATGTCCACCCAGGCTCTGACCCCACAAAGCCAGATGCCACAATGGTGGTGAAGAACCATCAGCTGACAGTCACCAGGTGAGGGGACCCTGCTGATGTCCTCAGACTGTCGGGTACGAGATAGGAGGGAAGTGCTCTCTCTACCCATGCACATCAGCCTGGCTGGCTCTTATCTTCTGTGGGATACCCTTGTTTCCCTCTGGGCTCTTGGCTCCCTCTAATCAGGAAAAAGCCAAATCTGGCCCCCTAGAAGGAGTAACCACATGACCTCATTCTTGACCAGAGTCTGGACTCCTAGAATTGGCAACTTCACACCCCCTTTCAACTTTAGATCCATGAACACAGCCGTCTTGCCCACCCCACACATCACAGCCTTTATCTCTTTTCTTTCAGGGGCTCCCAGAAGGACTACAGGAAGGACATCAGCGTCGGCAGGAATGTTGCCTGCTGGTTCGTCCACAACAATGGGCAAGGGCTGATCGACGGCATTCACAGAGACTACATTGTCCCCAACCTGTTCTGAGTTGACATGCCAACTCCTGCTGAGATGGCCGGCCCGGCCTGCCTGGCATCTGGAACAGAGGCACAGAGTGGGGCCCGATGAAAGGCTGTGACAATAAAGGCCAAGGAGGAACTGGACTGCCCCCAGCCTCTGCCTGCCTCCATCAGCCCCTGGTCCAGGGAACAGGCAGCTCGAAGGAAGGGTTGGCTGCTAGGAAGGCAACTTCCTGGGCCTCTCCATCAATGTGGCTGGTTGGGGGGTGGTTACTAGAGGAGTAAAACACAGGACAGTGGGGGAAGGAAAAATATAATCGATTCCGGAACAAAGGGCCTCTGAGAAGTCGGGAAGGACTGACTGCCTTTCAGAGTTTAGGAAGAATGGAACAAGTCAAGGGTCCCTGGCTCAGGAGCTCTTATCAGGGATGAAACTCGTTCTAAGATACAGGAGCAGAGATGCTCCAAGGTAGATTCAGCCTGCCACTAATTGCGCCATCCATCTCTCCACTCTCTGATCATCTCACCATCCATCCACTGGCTCATCCACCTGTCCACCCCTCCACAACCCATCCATTCAGCAGCTAAACCCAACATTCCGGGCTAGGATCTGGTGGCACACAGCTTAGTAACTCAGATCCTGTTTACATGGGTGCTCCAGTTTGTCTTCAGCTTCACTGGGGATCCCTGAGATCCTCCAATCACTCCTTATGGTGACCACCTACTGCTGCACCCTGTAAGTCCTGGGTGGAGTGGGGGTCAGACAGAGCTTCCTAGAGAAGCAGCTCTGTGGGCTGTCAGCCTGGGCAAGCCTCTCCCACCTGAGCAACAGCACCCTTCTCTCTCTGGCCTTCCTGCTCCCAGAGAGAGCTTTTTTTACAGAGCAGGACTGGTCATCACTTGCTGCCTGAAACCCTATAAATGATGTCTCCCACCCAGGATTCTTGGGACAAAGACAAAAATCCTCCCTGTCGTCCCTCCAGCTTCATCAGCCCTGCACACCAGGGGTTTCCTTTCAGTCTGTATTCGAGACACACAGACTGCTTTCAGTTCTGCAAACATAATTCCTCCTCCCCCAGACCCTCAGCTCCTGCTGTTCTCGCTGCCTGAGGGGTGGAGGGCATGCAGGGTGGAGGGTACCCCGCTGAAGGAAGAGGTTCGGCCAAGCAGGGGACGCAGTAAGACTGGAGGAGGTTGCAGTCAGGTTGGGAAGGGTCTCTAATGCCAGCGGGGCTGGCTGGGGTGGGGTCTGGCTGTGGGTGACCAGGAAGTTTGGCTGCCTCCCACTCCAGGGGCCCTTCTGTCTGAGCCGGAACACAGCTGCCCAGGGCCCACCTGGGCCTGGGGGCTTGGAGTGGGCATTGGGAAGGGCAACACAGGGGGAAATATCTATCCTCAGAGGAGCCCCCCAGGCACTGTCACTGCTCTGGTGAGAGGGTGACACGAGACACAGCTCCAGACTGAATGTAGCAGAGGCCTGGGCTGGCAGAAAGGGCCCAGGCCTGGAATGGGACACCCTGAAGTGCACAGACCCTACCACCCATTCAGTCCCAAATTGGCTGAGAAGCCATGCAGCTTTAAACCAGTTATTTTGAGGTCAGTATTCACATCTGTGAAATGGGAAGAAGGATCCTGCCAATGGAGCGTGTAAAGAGGCACCAGAATGGTGGCTTCTGGTCCTCCTGAGACGCCTATCTTTGTCCTGCTGCTCCCACGGATGAACAAGTCCAGGGGGTTGGAAGAAATGCAGGAAGACCTCCCCTGCCTGAATTCTGCCCCCTCTTCTAACACATAGTCAGGGGGTCTCTCCACAGAGGCCAAGACTAGGCAGACTCTGTTTTTTCCCCAGTCCCACATCATCCTGGCTGGGCCTGTCCCTGCCTATGGCCTTTGATGGCTCCTGGAACTTTCAGGATAGCAGCAGAACTCCATGGCAAGGTGTGTGCAGCCAGCACTGGCCTGGGGCCATTCCCTATCTTGCCAGCATCCCCTTCCACCTCACCCCACAACATGGCTTCCCTTCACCTTGCTGAACTCAGTGCATTGTCCTGGCTCTAGGCCTAGCGTCCTTGCCCACCTTTTCCACTCGGCGAACTTCTTTTAGTTCTTCAAAACTCAATCCCAACCCAGTCCCACCCACGCCACTCCCAGGAAGCCTTCCCTGCTATTCCTCAGGTTGGGCAAGTTGTCTCCCTCTGGCTCCTTGTGGCACCCGCTTGTTCTCTGGGTGGCAGCTCTGTCCGGTGCCCAATGTACCTGCTGCACTCTGCCGGGGCTTGGCCCAAGTAGGTGCTGGAAAGCACGCGGTGAACAAAACAAAGACGGGCATGGACCTGCTTCCAGTGGTTCACAATGCATGGCCGTCAGGTGCTGGCTGGGCCAGAGAGTCACCCGGGACCCCTCTGCAGGGGCACCAATTCACAGCCCAGCCCAGGGGCCGGTGTTTTGTCCTGATATGTCAGAGCAAGCCCACAGCGAGTCCAGTCGAGCCCCTGATGCTGCTCCCTGATCTCACTGAGCTCATCTCTGAGCCTCTGAGAGTGATCTTCACAAAGTGTCTCAGTCCGAGGCCCCTGCTGGCCACCAGGCCTGATGGGGAGGCAGCCATGCAGGAAAGTGTCCCTGAGTGTTGGAAAACCTGCTCCTGGAAACCCCTTCCTCCCACCAGCCTCTCCTCTACCCTCCTATAAAGACACTCAGAAAACACCCTGTATAACTCAAGAGCTGGGAAGAGAATGTTTTCCTTATCTGTTTGCTCCCTCTTAGCAAGTTAAAATGAACTCATTCTCTGCTTCGCCCTGGCTGCCAGAAAGCCCAAAGCGAAGAGTGGTGCTGCTGCAGCTTCCCCTACCCTGGTGTCTGTGATTCAATTCTCCTCCTCTAGGCTCTTCTCTCCTTTTCATTCTCATATATATATATTTTTTTTTCTGTTTTATTCTCTTTATATACCTTTTATTTGTAAGGCAAATACTTGTGTCATTTTTGAAGAAGTAGGTGAAATAATTATAAATGTTTTTTGAAAGTATGCCTTGCCTGTGCAGGAATTGGGTGGGATGTTTGGGGTGCCTAACCCTAGGCCTGGACAGAAGCCCCTCAACGACCCAGGCTCCTGGGAATAGACCGTTGCTTCCGTCCTGGGACTAGGGCCTCATCTCTGTTTCCCTTGTCTTTCACTGCCAGCTTCTCTGCCAAGGCAATGAGAAGATAGGCCTGTTTCTGAGCACAGGTGTGAAAATCAAATTGTATCCTGCAAATCCTACTGCAAAAGGGCCCCACAATTGGCTGAGAATGTTGGGAGTTGGCCTGTAACAAACTTCTACCCAGGTCACCCTTTTATTGTTTTCATGGACCCTGTGCCACCATAAAGCAGAATGAATCCTGTTCCCCAGAGTGTTCTCTGGCTCCAGGGCCCCAGCAGGAGCAACATTTTAACTGTTCCAGTCACTCTATATCATAGTTTCCCTGACTGTAAAGTGAAGGGATAGGACTGCACGCTTTCTGTGGGCCTTACTGGCCACAGGCCTTTGAGTGGCTGACGGTGGATGATTCTAATGGTACACAACGCTACATGTCCAGGACGTGACCTTGAGGCTTGGGGATTTGGCCAGATGAAACCAGAGATGCTCACTCCCTGGGCTCACACCATCTCTCTTTATTTTAATGAGTGCAAATACCTCTCCCTATGATATTCCAGGACCCAGAGTGGCTCTGTGGTCCCTGGGTGGCAGCCATCTGCACACAGCGTGACGGCAGGGGGTGGTGGGTGTAGCTCCTTCCAGAACTACAGCTCCACAGACCAGCAGGAAATCTCTTTGCCGGGGGGCCTCTCTTGGTAATCCAGCTTAAGCTCTCTGGGATGGACAGACAGACAGGTGGTCAGCATGTGTCAGGTGTGGCAGGAAGAGAGGGAGATAGCTGGGGATAGCAATGTGGAAGGTGGAGGGTCTTGGGGTCTCTGAGACTTCCCTCCAGCACAGGTCACCCAAGGGGACCCAGTGATGTGTGGTCCCTAGGGTCCAGGAATTCAGGGAGAGTTTCCCAGTGATCTCTGGACTAATGTGTTTCCTGTGGGTCTGAGGGGTGACCATCCTTTGTGGGGTGACTGAAAGCTGGGTCAGACTTGTCTGACCTGACACCTGACTGTCTGGTTCCCAGGTAGGGACAGAGGAGTGGGGGTCCCAGAGCCTAGCTCCCAGCCCCCACCCATGGCTGGGCTCAGTGGAGAGTTGTACTGAGTCACCTGGTGGCAGAGTAGTCACGCCCCTGGACCTTCAGTGTTCGCTTGCTGTCATCTGCTGTGTCCAGGGGCCCCCAGAGCACATCCTGGTAAAACTGGCCTGAGATACAAAGGGTGGGTCAGAGAAGAAAAAAGACAGAGGGAGGCTGGGGAACACGTCGAGGAGAGGGCACTTGCTGTTCACAGGCAGAGGCGGCTTCTGAGGGTGCCCCAAGCCTGGGCCACGTACCAAGGGTCCCGTTGACATGGCTGGAGAAGCGGTCAGTGTCCTGCAGGAGAAGCCGGAGCCCCTTTCCGGGGCCGTCCCAGAACAGCAAGCCGATGGTCACCCTGTCTGGTCTGCTGAGCAACAGGAGCCCCGCCTTGTCCATGGTCACCTTGAGGCTGTGGGCAAAGCCGTGTCCTGAGCGGGAAGGGGGGCCTGGAGATGCCCACAGGGGACCTGGGGTGGCCACGGGTGGGCGCTGCCCTTCTGTCCTCGGATCTCCTAGCGTGGCCTTCCAGGGGAGGGCCCTCAGTCTTGTGGGCTTTGGTCTCCTCAGTCACCGGGGAACCTGGGACCAGTGCGAACTCACTGACACCTGGTTATCCTGGCATTATGTATAACATACAACAATGGTTCCTCTCCCTCTGGTTTTCTTAGATTTGATTTCTCACAAATTAGTTTTATATGACTTAAGGGTTCATGGATACATTTCCTCTGTACCTTTTGTTCTTATGCCCAGTGCCGCTTTCTTCTGATGATTAGTGTTTAATTGTGTGTTTTAAGATCTAGAAGGGCAAGTCCCTCTTGAATGACTTCCTTTTCTACTTAGAATAATCTCTGAAGTTATTACTGTTTTGGTTTTCTCAGGAACATTAAACTCCTTTAAGCATGTTGAATAAAGTCCTGCTTTATTTAAAGACTCTGAGGTTATTTTCAATGGAATCGCCTTAAACTTACACTGTCTTGTTAACACAGTTCAATGTAAAAGCTATGGTCTATTTTTCTTTATGTGGCTCTTCTGAGCTCATGAAAGTATGTGAATGTTCCAGCACCACAACTGATAGGAATCCTTTATTCCATCTTCTAGTATGTATGTCCAAGGCACAGAAATGCTATCGATCTTTCTGTATCTACCAGATAACAGGAGACTTTAAGACCTTTTATGAAAGGTCTTAAAAGGGAGCTTTTAAAGGGGAGCCCCTCAGATTCCTGAGGTCTGTACTCACTTACCAAGTGGGAACCAGTTTCTCTGGAGGGGCTGACTGAGAGGGAGTAGGCAAGGCTCTCTGTACTCAGCATGGGCGGGGAGTCCAGAGGACACTGCTCGAAGAGGGCCTGGGTCCTTGGACTCTCTCCCCGCCCCTCATGACTCCCAGAGCTGGACACAGCTCTGCCAGGCTCCACAGAGAGGTAGCCCCACCAGAAGAAGTTGCGATCTATCTCTGCTACCCTCTAGCTGCCTGGTGTTGATGTCAGAGGGACTTGTCTCTCCTTGTCAGAGCTCCAAGGCTAAGAATGACGTTCCTAACCTCCCCTGCTGGACAATGCCCTGCAGACTCTCATCATCATGGTTACCTTATCACGCAGACAGCACACCTTCCTGTGTGCCCAGGGGGCACCGCACCATCTATGGGCAAAGTGCTCCCTGACCACATGCTCTCATGAGACCGGCCCCTCAGCCCTCCGGCTGCGGGCTCGGACGATTAGCCCTAGTTAGGGATGAGGGGGTGTAACACCTGCCTATGGTCACTGAGGGTTAGCAGCAGAGCAGCTCCAAACCACACTGTCGCCTGCACCAGACAGTGACCCGGCTTAGGTGTGAGCACAGCCAGGTCCCCAGGTCAACCCCCTGGCACCCTCCAGAGCTGGAGGGGGACGTGAAGGGCTCTCACATCGCTGCCCCTCCTGTGGGTGCGGCTCACTGCAGAGCACGCGTGCCCAGCCCCAAAAAGTGGAAAGTGGCTACCGCCTAACGCTCACCCGGGCATCACCGAGTACAGTGTTTCCTTCCACTTGTGTGCAGAGCTTCTTCGGTTTCGAGTCATAACCACATGCTCAGGGGACGCATGGACCTGCAGCTGAGGGTTCTCGAAGGTTACCTCAATCCACGAGAAGCGGGCCTTCGCTGTCTCATAGTGGCCAGTCACCTCAACCCCTGAGAGGGCCAGGAGCAGAGAGGTCGAAGCTGTGGCTCCAGCTGGGCATTGGCCTGAACAGGAGGTTCCCCCCACCCCTCTCCAGCCATGACCCCCAGAGCTGCTCTTCACCCACTCACCTGCCGGTCCCCTTCCCCGCCTCCCCTCACACTGTAGGCCTACTTCCCACCATCTTTCCACTCATCCCTTGGGTACCCCTGGCTTTGGAGGGGCCCCCGAGTCTTCAGTGATGGCCACCTTCAGATGGCCAGATCATCTCCACCTTCTGGGGACTGGAGGGCAGGTCTGGCCAGTACGCCTCCCTCCTCCACACCTTTTCCAGCTCCAGTGGCCTCCCTCAGGGCTCTGTGCTCCTGTCTACCCCTTTCTCGGCCTCATGGACCCCTACTTCTCTGCCAAGGCCCCGTCACCCCCATACAACCCCATGCAGCCCTACGTCCTGGCCCTCAGACAGCTCTTGTCTCCTCTCCTGGGCTCATCTCCATCACATTTTGGGCGCTGACTACAGGCCATGCCCAGGTGTCTCCTCACCCTGAAGTATGGCAGTGCCTAGGGGCAAGCCCACCTCTGGTCACCTTGGGGTGTAGGTCATTCAGGCCCACATAACTGGTGCCCAGTGAGAGGTCGTTGGGCAGACATATGAGCACAAGTGTCGGAGCTCGGGTGCCGCCTGCCTGGGACGCCGCCTGCCTGGGAGTCTGTGGGCTGGTGTCCCAGTGTCTGAGGTAGGAAGCTGGGGGGTGCGCTGTGGCCAGATTTCTTTGGGTGGATAACTGGGTATGTGCCTCTCACCTTGGTCAGGGTCCGACAGCAGGTTCACTAGCTCCTGAGGGCGTCGGAGGTCCACACAGAGCCGGTCCACACTCTGCCCAGGCAGTGGCAGGATGACGGAAGGAGCCTGGACGGGAGCTGGGACAGCAGGTGTGTTCTGGGGGCAGGTAAAGCTGGCTAGGGGCGAGGATGGGGAGGGAGGCTGAGACAGGGTGGCACTTACCGAAGGGTGGGGCTGTTGTGGTTGCTCCTGAAAGAAGAAAAAAGTCTAGGTTTAGGCAGCCTTTTCCTGGGGAGGGGCAGGGTTGAGGAATGGAAAAGCCAATGGGTGTTCAGGGTTCCCTCTCTACCAAGAAACCTATGTGACAGGTTCATAGAGCTCCCCGGGCCCTCCCCTTTCAGGTCTCTCTGCCATAGGGCAGCCTGGGGGCACCTCTGATTCTGAAATCCGTGTCGTAAGATGCTCCACCAGGATCTGAGGTAGGTGACGGTGCAGAAACAGGCGTGAGTGCAGGAACCCAAAGGGAGAAGGCAGTCAGAATTCAAAGCAAACGGCAAGCCCTCCAGCCATCACTGCTACCTGCCACCCACCAAGCTCCAACTCCACGAACCCTGCTATAAACACACACCCAGTCTAGAACTACCTTTATAAAGAGATTTTTCCAACCAGAAGGGCATGCTGTCAGGGAAAAAACTGAGGAGATGGGGTCCAGCCTGGCTCTGCAGCTATGTCTGAGTCTAGGTTTGGAGATCAGAAAACAGCTCAAGGGACTATTCTTGGCTTTGGGAATGGAGGAAACCTTCTTTTTCTAGACTGTTCCATCCCTAGCGAGCCAGCCTCCAGAGTGTAACAAATTCAATTCAGTAAAAATAAAGGACATGCTATTTAACATTATGTGCTGTGCTGTGCTTAGTCACTCAGTGGCATCCAACCTTTTGCGACCCTCTGGACTGTAGCCTGCCAGGCTCCTCTGTCCATGGGGATTCCCCAGGCAAGTATACCGGAGTGGGTTGCCATGCCCTCCTCAAGGGGATCTTCCCAACCCAGGGATCAAACCCAAGTCTCCCTCATTGCAGGTGGATTCTTTGCCATCTGGGTCACTAGGGAAACCCAAGAACACTGGAGTGAGTAGCCTCTCCCTTCTCCAGGGGATCTTTCTGACCCAAGAATCAAACAGAGGCCTTCTGCACTGCAGGCAGATTGTTTACCAGCTGAGCTACCTGGGAAGCCCAATTAATGTCATACCTTACAGCAAACCTCCCTGGTCTGTGCTTAGCCTTGGGCTTAGTGATTTATCTCATCCAACACTATGGGCAGGTTCATCTTGAGGAAACTTGGCCCTCAGAGGGTCAGAAAGTGGCTTACGTAATGTCATCTCTGGTAGCACCAATCTCGAGGTCGTACGGAAGAATGGAGGAGGAGGAGCAGGAAGACGTCCATGTAATCTGAATCTTGCAGGACTGTTAAACACTTTCAAAGCTCCACCTTTGGCAAAGTTCACACAAGTAGTGTTTTCTCAAGCAGAGTCATGGGTCCCCACAGCCTGGGTGCTGGGATTCACCCCAGAAGAGGGACTTGGAGGGGGCTGGTAGGTCCCCTCCCCTCCCTTATCACTCTGGGTTGGAACAAAGGGCCCGTCTTGAACTCCTTCCTGCTGTGATATTGGCCCTCCCTCCCCGCTCTGCTAGTGCCCCTCAAACTGCCTTTTCCTCTCCAGCCTCTTCTTTCAGAAAAGACAAAGACAGGGTCTGCACTGCTGTCTCCTAATCAGACACAACAGGATTGGAGTTCCAGCCCTACCACCAGCTAGGCGAGTCCAGTAAGTCACCCCCCCACCCATAGCCAGGGCAGAGCCCCGTCTGTAGCTGGGGTCAAGGTTCTGTCAGTATCCCCTTCCTCTGCCCTCTCCTCTTTTGCTACCTGTTTTCCTGGATGCTCTGTCCCTCCCAGAATGACCAAACAGCATGAGCCCTGGCAATCAGAGAAACTTGAGTTTGCCTCTTGAATGTGTGTTTCTGGGGCCCCCAGTGTCTCTGCGGCTCTAGTGCCCAGGACGGGGCCTGAGTGACAGCCAATGTCTGCATGAACAGGTAACTAAGTGCACCAGCGTGCCTGGGCAGATGACACCCCTCCTGAGCAGGGCTGGGTGGGAGAGGCGCTGGCTAGTCGCCATATGGTCGCTGAACCATAGGCCCTGTGTCAACCAAGAGTCACCAAGGCCAGCCTCAGAGGGCATAAGGCTCTTACCTGGGTGGACTCTCCTGTCTCTGTTTTCTGAATAAGACAAAAAGAGGGAGAAAGAGAGACACACTTGTCAGGGTGGTTTGGATACACCTGAAGTATTTCTGTTTAACCTTGTTTCCCAAACCCAGCGCTACACAGGGTACAGTGAACATGTGGTGGTAGGGGGTGGAGTGGGGGCGGGGGTCAGGAGGCCTAGCCTCAGATTCCTCATCAATGAAACAGGGATGAGTTTTCTGGGAGTCTGAAGGTGGCAGGGTGGAGTCTTGGCTGGGATGTTGGGGAGGGGCTGGGGAGAATGCTGGGTCAGAATTCTGCTGCCACACCCACCATCCTCCACAGGCTTCTCAGCAACCTGAGACTGTTCTTGACCGGGTTTGGTGATCACCATGGACGTGAAGGGGGTGACAAAGCTGTAGCTGAGTGACAAGTTCAGTGCGCGGGCCTCCAGAGCCTGCTTCTCAGCATCTAACGCAGAGACCCTGCAGGTAGAGGAGGCCAGTGGCTCGGCAAGCCCCCAGGTGCCCGGAGTCTCCCTCCATCCCAGACCCTTCCAGGGTTACCACCACCTCAAGTCTCCCTGCCCAGGAGATGCCTGTGCCAGCTGTGCCAGCCCTGCCAGTGAAGAGCCTAGGGAGGTGCTGAGGCTGTGGGTGGCCACCCCGGTGGGCCCTGGAGGATGCGTTCACCCACGTTTGCTCGAGCAGTTGCTGGATGGTCAGGTATGCCCAGAGTCTCTCCATGAAGCTGTGGAAGATGTACTTGGGGCTCTGGAACATCTCCTCCTGCTCAGCCACATGGGACTCCATCACAAAGGTGACGTTCTCCTTGTGCTGGAAAGAGGGGCTCAATGAGGGCAGGAGCAGGGAGGGCGTGATGCCAGCACCTGAACTGGTGCTGCCCAGACCGCCATGAGAAACCTGGTCAGGGTGGCATTGGCTGCAAGTAGGGCAGAGGGTATGGAGCTTAGGGGTGTGAGAGGCTCAGTCATAGAGCCTCCAAGGATGATAAGGAGGTGGAGAAAACGGAGACTATTCCAAGTGCAACACAATGGGCGCAGAACCAGGAGCTGCCTGAATTTTTTGCCCTCTCCACACATACAGCTATTTTTTTCTGTTTTTGGCTGTGCCACATGGCATGTGAAATCTTAGCTCCTCGACCAGGGATTGAATCCAGGCCCTTGGTAGTGACAGCATGGAGTCCTAACCACTAGACTGCCAGGGAAGTCCCTTGGATGAATTTTAAATAGACTAACACTCTTGCCCCAAGCAAGAGGTCTGGTGTTCGAGCTCTTTTTCACAACACATTAACTACATAACTACTGAAACAAAGACATGTTTGTTTGTGAACTACACTAAGTCACCTTGGGTTCTGCACTTTAAGAACTCCTGGACTCCAGGACAGTATGAGCAGCTGACACACAGGAGTGTTTACATAGGGGAAAGCCTTAACCCCCAATGCAGCCTTATGAGGTGGGTGAGGTTGACTTATTTTCATTGGTACAAAGCAGGAAACTGAGGCACAGGGAGGTTTAGTGCCATGCTCCAGGTCTCACCTCTGGGAGGTGCCAGAGCTGGGTGTGAAGCTGGGCAGACTCACCACAGGGTGTGCTCTTGCCTATTCTGACACTTGGCTACTTCTGAGACGAGGCCCTGGGCACCTCCATGCCCACTTGCCTTTCCTGACTGCTCTTCTCCCCACACATGCTGCCTACCTGCCATGAAATCATGAAACATTCCTCTGTCCTTTCACCATCTACCTCTGCCACCTCCCACTTACCCCTCAGTCTCAGCGGACCCTCCCTCGGAAGCCCTCCCTGGTCCCCAGGCCAAACTGGGGCTTCCAGCGCTGCCTCCATGACTCCCCGAGTTTATCCAGCCCACAGCTCCTTGCTTGTGCGACGATTTACCCATGCTGTCTGTCTCATGAGGGCAGTACCCCCGGGGCCTGGAGAGGTGCTGTGATTCTCTTTGTGGAATGAGAGGCAGGGAAGGCTGTGCAAGGACAGGATACCACCTGGTGAGCTGGGCTCTTGACCTGGCAGTAGCGGGACCCGCGGCAAACTGGCTGCTCTCCCTGGAGGTCAGACTGCTAATCTGTGAAATGGGAGCAGCCCTCCCTGCCCGACTGCTTGGGTGAGGACAGGAGGGGATGCCAAGCAGCTGGTGCCCTCGGGAGCAATCACAGCAGCTGCACTGGTTGACCGTTACGTGCCTACCACATGCCAGCGCTGCGCAGGCGCCCTCAGAAAATTACATCATCTCGTTAATCTCCACCGGGAGCCAACACAGTGGGGCTGCATCACCCACAGGTGGCAGAGGGCACTCTGTAACTTGCTCAAGGGCAAAGGGCTGGAGCCTAGCAGGGCTGGGGTTTGAGGCCAGCCCCTCTGACTGCCCGCCCCAGCTGTGCTTCCCCTCCAGAATGGCCGGCCACACCTACCAGCTGCCCCCAGACTTGGGCTGAGAGCACGTCAGGGCTCTGGTCCCGGAGCTTCCCAGCCACTACCAACTCGGAGCCCTTGAAGAACACCCGGAAGGCGTCCTGCGTGACCGACTCTACAGCATTGCTCGGGTACTCAAAGGCCACCGATGTCATCAGTGGGTTGGCCACCTGCTGGTAGAAGTCCTGCAGGGCAGGGGGTGTTTCATGAGGGCTGGGCTGGGGTCTGCCCACCTGGCCGTGCCATCCCTTGCTCACACAGTCCAGCCAGGGTGTGTGGGCACCTGCAGCTGCAGGGCGGAGTCTGAGTCCTCATAGATGCGCCGGGCCAGGCCGCCGTTTTCCAGAGCCATCTTCTCCAGGAAGGTGTAGCTGACGTCAAAGCCAAAGCCCAGGCAGAAGAGACTGTGCTGGCCATTTATGGCTTTCCGTACGTTCTTCTGGATCTTCGAAGGGTTGGTCTCCCCTGGACCCAGTGGTTTCGGAAAAGGGTGAGAAAACGGTGATTGGCTCAATGGATATTTCTGGAATCTCAGAGCCAAAGGGGCCTAAAAGACCCCTCTCCCTGCCCCAGGTTCCACAGTACACCAGGCTGGAACTCAGCTTCTCCTTCTGGGCGGTGCGCCAGGGGGGTGCTGGCAGTGGCTCACCTGCAGTGGGGTCACCATCGGTGAGGAGGATGATGAGGGTGACACTCCTTGCAGGCAACAGCTCCTCCCGGTTAGCTTTCTCCAGCAGCTGCACAGCCATCAGCATCGCATCATTTATATTGGTCCCTGTGGGGCACACAGCCTCAGGGGGGCTCCCAGCAGGGTGCCCTGGAAGTGTCTACCATGCAGGGCTGCAGAAGCACTCACCTCCCTGGGCCTGGATGCCAGTGGCATAGCTCTTGGCCTCATTCACGTTCTCAGTCGAGGCTGGCACTAGCAATGGTTTCCACGTGGTTGCTTCCGCATTGAAGCTGATGAGGTTGAACTGGTCATGGGGACCGAGGTCATTCAGGATCTTGATGAGGGCTTCCCGTGTCTGCGTCAGGGCAAGGGGACACAAGGTGGGTGTCTCAGTGGGCCCTCCGTGGTGGCTCCTGTGCCCTTAAACTGCACCCTAAGGCTCACAGCTGGAGTGAGGACGTGGGGAATGTTCGAGTGGCAAGACCAACCTCGATCCATGGGAGCCCCCTACCTAGGAAGAGGGAGGGCAGGTCTGGTTGGCCTGTTGAACCAGAGCTGATGGTGTTAGACGTCTGTGAGTTTTCAGAACCCCTCCCTGGCCCATGGGACCTACCTGCTTTATTTTCCTGCCCATCATGGAGCCGCTCTTGTCGATGACAAAGATCACATTCTTGGGTATCGTGGACAGGCTATCAGGGGCAAAGTAGTGCACAAAGTAGCCGTTTTCAATCTGTGACCAGAGTGAGACACACCCAGGTATAAGAGCTGCAGCTCTGCCCCCAACCAGCCTCCTCACCCTCAACCCTGGGGTTCTGCTGTACTCTTTATTCCAGCTCCTTCCAGCCCTATTCCACCACAAACCTCCCCAGATTCTTGCCATACTGCTTGGCTTGATCCAGCACCTCCCTTACAAAGGCTTCCCTGCTCAGACCTGGCCCAGCAGAACTCTACCCTTATTTTACCTATTTAATTATTTGAGGCAGCTTATACTACAAAGTTCAGACATAGTATACCTAAGATCCATTAAAGAAGTGAAGCCTCCATAAACAAGGTCCATCAAAAAGGTAAAGGGGAAGCACAATGTGGCCAGAAACTTATGTGAGAGAAGCTACTGCGATTGAGCATAAAAGTGAACTGTGAAGCTCCTGGCAGCCAGGGCAACAAGGGAAACCCGCCCCCGCCCCCCCCCCCCCCAATATCTCTTCAGCAGAGATGAACTTTTTTCCCCCTCTGGAAGGGAACAGTTTCAGTGACAACACAACTAAACTGCCTGTGTTCTATCTGTGCAATGATGACTAGGGGTGCTTATTCTGTCTTTTCTTCAAGAATACCCAGGCTCAGGTCCTTGAGGGTGGATAGACTTTTTGGTGGCTCAGCTCTTGCCTGGAGCCCACATACCTGAATGGAACCCCCAGAGGCAGTCCGGTCCACATCGTAGCGGACAATGAAGTTGCCATCTAGGACCGTGTCCTGCTTCTCCGGAGACTTTTGTTGCTGTGACAGTGTTGGCTTGAATCGGATGTGAGCCTGGAAAAATGACCTGGCTGAAGTTGGAAGGAGCAGCAAGGTGGTATTAACAACACCCCTCATCCCTATTTGAAGAGAGAATTCCAGGAGGTAGTCTTGGGTCAAGTTCCAGGAGACTTTCTCTCAGGCTGAGCTGTTGGCCAGATGACCTTCATATAGGGGAGGGGTTGTGAGTGAATCTCCTGCTCCCGTCTTTGTGCAAGCAGAGGCTGGGCCCAGGATGTGTGCGGTCCAGCCAGTCCCTCCTCCCTACCAGGTCTGGGGACCCTCACATCAGTCTTCTCTCTTGAGCCCAGGGTTCAAACCAGCACCCACCATCCATCCCTGGGCCTTGCCCTCCCTGTCTGCCAAATGACAGCACGGACATAGGAACCTCACAAGTCCCTCAAGCTCAGAGCTCAGAGATTCTGATCAGCGGTTCCACTCTCTGGAAGTCCAGCCTCAAGACAGGCCCCTGGGAACCCTCACCTGCAGACCCTAGCAGGCCCACCTTGGTCTTGTTCTGTGAGGTGGTGAGGGCCTCTGCCAGTTTATTGGTCATAAAGGTGCTCTCTGTCTCCAGAAAGCTGATGCCCTGAGGCTCGAAGATGTGAATGTCCATCTAGAAGCAAGAACCGGGTTACTGGGTCTGCTGGAGCCAGGGCTGGCCCTCACAGGAGGCAGAGGGGGAAGCTGGGTCTGCCCTCGGCAGAGTGAGGTCATCAAGGAGGCCTTCTAGGAGAAAGTGGTGCCAGGTACCTGCAGGTGTTTGACCAGCTGCTGGGGCCGGACTTTCAGCAGCAGCTCGTACGCTCCCAGATGACGTGCCAGCAGCTCCTCATACACAAGCTCGAAGGTGACCTTGGCAGCGGGAGCCACGCTGACGGACACCTGGAACTGCTCCGTCTTTCTCCCGGTGGCCCTGGGGGAAGAGGGCATCGGATGTGCCCCTCAGACTGGGGGTGAGAGTGGGTGTGGCCACTGGAGGGGGAGCAACGCACAACAACTGAAGTCAGGGGCAGCCTTGACCCCACCCCCAGAGGGATCCTCCCACCCCCTTGGACTCACCTGACGAGGCCGGCGCTCTCGCCCCTGGCCACGGCCGCGCTGTACCGCTCCTGTGCTGCAGCCTTCTCCTTGATGCTACCTGGGTAGGTCACACCATCGATGACCCTGGGGCAGGAGGGAGTGAGTTGTGAGAGCCTGGTGGGTGAGGCCCACTGCAAGCCCACCTTCTCTGGGACTTCCCATGCCTTCCGACAGAGTGACTCCTATCTTTACCCGAGCCCACGCGTCTCTCACACACCTACTGCGGACACGGCTCTGTGCAGGGCCCCGGGGTGGTCAGGGGCTCTGTGGACCTCCATCGACCCTGAGCTATGCACTGTGCTGGCCGACATGCCTTTTCCTGAACAACTGGGATGAAGGAGGAGGCAGGGCTGAGCAAGCACCTGGCCTCTCTCCTCCTATCCTGTCTGGCTCCACGTTCCAGTTGCCACTTCCACCCTACAGACTGTTTCCAGAGGAACCGGTCAGCCACCAGTGAGAGCTCTGAGCCTCATTTCACTCAGTCTTGTGTTCAGCAGGGTGGGGCAGGCTGAGGAGGGAGATGCTGGCTCCCAGGCCAGTGGAGACACAGGGCTGAAGGCTCTGACCCCTCTCTCCACAGCTGCCCCCTCTTTTCACCAACAAAGCGCAGGCCACACTGCAGAGAGGCTGGCTTCTGGGGAAGGAGGTTTTGGATGACTAGGGGACGGGGCTCTTTGGTGGGTAGAAACAATCCTAGTGGCCATCTGAGGGACTTAGAGAGAAGCAGCAGGCAAACTAAGTCTGCTCCATCCGGGGTGGTGTGAAAGTGTAAGAGTCTCCAGGAGGGAGGGGACAGCCAGGATGCCAGGACCAGTGTCCCTTCTCCCCACCTTCCTGGTCACAATTTAACCCTGGGCTACAGTGGGGTTGGTGCTGGGCTGCAGGGCTCCTCCTTCCAGATGCCCAACTGGGGCTCCTAGCCAGGTTGGGCAGCAAGTCACCCTGCCCTGCCCCCTGCTTCCCTATCTCATGCAGCCACAGGAGCTGGGCCCAGAGACGGGTGCATGTCCTGGGCCTTCAGAAGATGAAATGGGCCTGGAAGCTTGCAACTTGCCAGCCACAGCACCCACATGGGAAGTGGGGTGCAGCCTGTGAAGCTTACACTGAAAGTTAGGCCGCACAGGCCTGGCTCCTGGTGAGGAAAAGAAGGGCTGACAGAGGGGGCTGGGCAGAGAGATAAGGAACCAGCCACAAGGACCCTGCCCCCACCGCAGGTGTTCAGAGGTCCCAGGGTACACTGGGGACTCTGCCTGAGACGCTGGGTCTCTGCCCCACCCATCACCCTCCCTGAGTTTCTAGGATCAGACCCTCTCTGGCCTGTTCTCAATCACTGCCTCTTCTGCAAGGCCAGAGACAGAGAGTTCGCTTGCATTTAGCAAATATTGCAAAACTCAGTGGGGAAGGGTGGGGGAGGAAAGCAGAGGACAAAGTGACGATCATCACCAGCTTACAGAGTCCACGGAAACCCCAGGGGCCTCCCAACACAGCTTTTGGCTCAGAGAAGAACCATCATTTGCAATATCCCACTATGGGGCAGGTGGACCAGCCTGGCTCAGAACTTCTGTGACAAGGAGGTGATCACCCTCCCTGAGGCATTACTTCATTGTAGGGGGTTAAGTTAAGTTTTCTGTGTTCTGAGCTAGAATCTGCCTTTTGGTGATTCCCTTCTGCCTGGGATTGGCTTCAGGATGCCTCAAGTCTGTACTTCTCAAAGGCAAAGACATGAAGAGTCTGTGGTTCTCCATCTGCCACCTGGGCAGAACTCAGGGAAAACGGATGGATGAATGGATGGAGAGACAGAAGGCGGGAGGGACCAATGGAGGGAGGGATGAAGGGAGAGAGGGATAGATGGAGGGAAAGAGGTAGGAATGGGTAGAGGGATGGAACGAGGGAGGCAGAATGGGAAGGAGGAAGGGATAAAAGGATAGAGGCAGGGAAGGGTCTCTGAGAATGCATGAAGTTCCTGGCTAAAGCCTCTGGCCTCTGTATTGCCTACAGGTGGAGCACACACGCCTCAGGCTTATATCCTGGCACATTTCACATCAGGAAGAGAACACAGGGGCCATGGTGTCAGACTGCTGGGTTAGGGAGGGGAGACCAGGAAGAGTGCAGCAGGGCACCTACATGGAGAAGTTGGTGATGAAGGCTTTCTTGGGCAGCTCCACCTGGAAGGTGGCCTCCTGCATGGCATCAGCCCTGTTGACCACCCGGCTGGTGATAACTGTGTGGGCGAATCGGGAGGAGACCTTAGAGTCCACAGTGAGACTGTAGATGTCAACGTCATTCTGGACCTGTGAAGGAGGAAAGGGTGGGACTGTTTAATGCTCTTCAAGAGTGGGTCTTGACCTTGGTCTCACACCAAGCCCTGGCCCCCAACCCCAACCAAGCCACAGACCAGGAAGAATCGCAGGAAGCATTGTGAACGTTCACCTCAAATCAAAGGCTGCTGTGTGCTTCATTCCCCACCCAATAGTGCAGAGACCCTGAAGGGAAGGGACCGGCCTGTCTTGTCCAGTGGGGGCCACAGTGCTCCTTGGAGAAAAAGCAGGCAAGGGGTGGGGAGTAGAGCCTGAGCCCCACTGTGTCTGGGATGGACTTATCCTTGGGGCAGAGATGAGTGGCAGCAGCTTCCATGCCATCTTAGTCCTGCCCAGTGAAAGGGCAGTGCACAAGTCCTGTGACTGGGAAAACGGTGCCCACCAGCCTCCCCCCAGGAGACTGAGGGAGCTGGGAGACCTGGAGGTAGGGAAGGTCCACCTCTAAGGCTGAGCATCTTCTGCTTTGTCCTTTTCCCCACAGTTGTGGGGCTGCCCTTGTTGCTCCATCCATGCCCATGGGGCACTCCCCCAAGCATGTGTATTTTGCCCCAGGTGTGCGGTCTCCAAGGAAGGGTATGTGTACACAGGCAGAGCCTCCACGGCTCTTGCCTGCTTGCACATGGCATACTTGTGTTCAGCACAGAGGTGCACAGCAGGCTGAGTGCCTTGCTTACACGTGAGTGAGTGTCTGCCTAGTGCCAGACACTGTACTCAGCACTTCGTAATACTAAAGGTTTCCTCTTCACCACAGACCTCTGAATAGTTCTATTACTGTAACCTTGTTCTACAGACAAGGAAAAAGAGACATAGAAAGCATCAGTAACTTCCGCAAGGTCAGGCTGACAGGAGGGGTAAGCTGGGCTCCTGAGGCGCATTCTTACCCACCCTACCTACTGCTGCCCTCCAGGGCAACTTGCTAGGCTGTAGTTCCTCCCTGGGAACTGGGAATAACAGGATCACCCCTCCCAGTAAATGGGGGATTCGCCATAGACCCCTTAGGGCAGCACCCCTTCTCTGCACACACACTGACCCAAGTGACCCATGCTCACTTGTACACTCACACAGACCAAGGCTCTCCTTGCCTTCACTCACTTGCCCCATTCACGCTCAGATGCACACACACAGGCCCCCCACGGATGTTACCTTGTGGGCTTTGGTGGTCTGGAGTACGGCCAGCGAGAGCAGGACCAGCACGATGCTGTGGGTGCGGCCAGGGGCTGGGGTCTTCATTTTGGCTCTGGCCTGCCGCTTCTGAACCTGAGAGGAGGTGCGGAATTAGTAACTTGCTTGCTGCCCCGCCCCTGCAGGGGCAGGTTCTGGGAAACTGGGATCTGCAAAGCCAAACACCACAGGGGACTCAAGATAAGCAGGCAAGCTGCGAATGTCCTGTGGACCTTGGCTGGGGATGGGAACCTGCACGGAAGAGGGGCAGGCTTGTGTGGGAGTTGAGTAAGGGTGCTCCTTCTGAAAGGTCCAGAATCTAAGCAAGCCACCGCCACCCCTCACACCAGTTATGCCTCCAAAAATCTCCCCAGAGCTTGGGGGCACAGCGGTGAACTGGTCGGCTCTCCGTAAGCCCAGCCTTAGAGGAGAGGCATGGCTGGGAAGAGGAGGGCCGAAGTATGGCTTCTGGGAGGCAGGGGGCCTGGAAATCAGGTCAGTGGGACCCAAGGGCCCTAAGCAGCCCTCGGGTACCTGAGTGGAGCAAGATCTGCTGGGGCTAAGGCAGGGTGGATACACCTTACTTACGGAAGGAGAGGGGCAAGGCCAAGGGGCCCCCCCTTCTCTCTGGGGGGGGTGTGCCAGGATGCTGTTCGGGCCCCATTATTCTAGCCAAGAATCTTGGTGCAGTTCCAGCAAGGCCTCCAAAACAAGATCTGTACTTGGCGGTACAAACCGAGAGCCACAAAGATGCCCCGTGTTGTGGCCCCGAGATCAGGCTGTGGGGAGTTTCCTGAGAGGGAAGCACAGAGTTCCTGAAGGGGGCAATTCAGGGTGGTGGCATGTGCACTCCAGTGGCCTACGTGGAGGTCAGTCATGCCAAGGGAGCCTGTGAATCACTCCTGGAGTGAGGAAGGGCAGAACGCCGATCTGTCAGCTAGCCACCGCCAAGGCAGTGCTGTTGTCATGGGCCCAGGCCACGGGAGGATGGCTGGAGGGCCTGTGGTAGGATTAAGGATGGCTTTTTTCAATTTTTCTGTAATAAAGTTGAAAGACTGTTTTCATAACAGCAATGAAGCAAATAAATATTAGGGGACGGGGACACAGCTGGTGCTTGTCTTCCTGTGAATCTGGGAGAGCTCAGCTCCTGCGTCTCAGGCCACATATGGGCTAAAGATGCTTCAGAAAAGTGGCCAGATGCCAGATCCTGGGTCAGAGAAGGAGAGATCAGTGACATTCTCCTGGGGATAGGGGCCGAGGGAGGGTGCCATCTTCAGGGCCCACTTGGGACAGTCGCAGGGCAGGAAGGGGGCTCCTCCATCAGTCCTGCCTTTCTCAGAGCCAGCAGCACCTGCCCTGAGGGAAGGGAGCTGGGTCTGTGGCTACAAGTAAACACTCCCTTTCTTTACATGACTTCAGCTGAAGCCTCACCTCTATGCACATCTGCACCGCCCGCCCCTTGGCTCTGGATGTGATCAGAATGGCATGGGACAACACAGCCCTTCAGCAATCTGCGGGAAGGGCGGCCTCCCCAAGGGGCCCAGTGGGCAGGCCCAGGCCTGGCCCCCACATAAGGTCTGCTCCCTCGGGGCACAGAGCACGGGCCCAGCCTGAAACAGCTATATAAGGAGGCAGGGCTGGCTGGGAACATGGGAAAGACTTTGTGCAGCCTGCTCCACCTGCTTAGGGGACGGGCGAGACTTCCTTGCAGACATCGACCCCAAGCCAGGCACTGTAAGCCCAGGCCCTGCCTGTCTAGCCTGGACGGTCTGGGGTCTTGCTGTCACAGCTGGACAGGCCTCTCTAGTGCCCTGAATCCGACAGCTCCAGACGCTCAGGGACATTTGAGGCCCGAAGCGGGAAGAATCACACAAGACCTGAGACCCTGGTGTTCCGTGACTCAGGCAGAGCTGTGGGAGTGGAGAGGGGGAGGCTCACTCCGCTGGGGTGAGGGGACAGTGCCTCAGGGAGTGGACGGCCACGGGCCGGAGAGGAGCCTCCACCTGGCTGTGTCTTTGAGGGGATGCGAGATGGCAGGGGGGCAATGTGAACAAGGGGGAGGGAGATTTGAGGACCCTGAGCTCCATAGAGCCTTGGGGTCCCTGGAGGCATCGCGATGGCTTCTGTGAAGGGTGGGGAGAGGGTAAGCCCCAAGCCCCCACCTGCTTCACTCTGAGCACTGTGACTATGGCCTGCTTTACACAATAGGGTCCCTTGTCACATATAAGGGGAAACTGCAACTCAGAAAAGGAGGAGAGAGGTTTGAAGTCACACGGGTCAGCATCTGGTCTCCACACCCGAGGCTCTCTGTGGCATATGGTGGTGGGCATAACAGCACCTGCTTTACCCTCTGGGACTTTTCCAGAAGCCGAGAGGGATGGAAAATGTGCCCCACACCTGCCCTGCCCTCCCCTCCCCTCCCCGGCATTTAGTGGCCGTGGCCAGTGACCAACCAATACCCTGCAAACACTGGGGCCACTTGGGCATTCTCTTTATTGGTGTTTTCCCAGGTGTGAGTGCAGAGTCCCTGGGCTGAGGGGCCAGGGCTGTGGGGCAGGGGTGGCATTCCCCAAGGCGTCAGGTGAGAAGGTGTGTTCTGGCATAAAAAAAGAGTTCTTGGAAAAAAAAAAAGTTCTTGGGAAAAGTTCTTGTGTCGCAGTGGTGCCTGTGGTGACGGGGGTGGCATGCATTTCTCAGCCAAAGACACTCTTGGCGGGTCCGGCTTTGGGCTTCTCAAACACCGTCTCAGCGCCAGTCCGGGCGCGGCTGAACACTGACGGGGCAGTAGAACCAGCTTGCTCTGTGGGAAGGATGGGGAGGAGGTGGGTTAGGGGCAGGCCTGGCTTCCTAGAGAGGAGAGGCCCCCTGTGTGGTAGGCGCCACCCCGAGCCCACAAGCTCTGAACTCTTAGAAAAAGGACCCATGGGACCCTCCCGTCCCCCAACCCATCCTCCTTCCCACAGACACACATCTGCACCCAGGCCCCCATCATCCTGAGAACACTCACCACACTCCCGCATGACCTGGTAGGTCTTGGACTTGATCTCCTGGTTCTTGGTCAGGTTCCCTCGGGCCCCCTTCAAGTCCTCCTCCTTCACAGGGGGCCGCTTCTTCTTGATGGGGGCTTCCTGAGTGCCAGCCTCGGGGAGCCCAAGCCTCATCTTACAACCTGAGGCCTTGAGGCTGAGGGTCCTTTCCCACCACCACACCTTGGCCCAGACCCCTCTTCCCTGCTCACTTAACTCCAGCCAATTCAAGGCATCATTTCTCTTCCAGGAAGCCTTCCTGACTGCATGTCACACCCCCTACCCCAAGTCTCTGTCCTTTCCCGACAGACCAGGAGCTCTGGGGCCATGGCTGTCACAGCCTCATACCATCTGTCTGCCTGACCTCTCTGAGCCCTGGCCTTCCAGGGGAGGCAAAGCTTCCTGTGTTTATGCTCCAAGCTCACCTCAAGACACAGCTGCCAGAGTTGACAGCGCCCATCTCCCCCACCCCACCCCTAGCCCCTGGCACCAGCAGGCCCTGAGCTCGGCCCTCCTACCTGGGACATGGTGGGTGCTGTGGGGAGCTGCTCCCTGGCAGGTAGTGGCTGTGGAAGAGATTTAAGCAGCGCCCAGCCCTCTGGGGCTTATATAGTCTGCTTGCCTGTCCCGGGAAGTCACTCCCCCTCCTCTGACAGCTCCCCGATGATTCAGATCCACGCAGTCGCTGGCTTCAGAGTTTATTCTTGGAGATGATAGGGGCTTGCTGAGCACTTCTGCCTGGGGGGCTGCAGTCCTGGCGACAGTAGACAGCTGGGGAGACCCCGTATCCTCGGGGACAGCTGCTCTCTTGTGGGCAGGAGGCACTGGGCCTGGCAGCAACTTGTGTTTACGAATGCAGGTCCTGTAACATGCATGTGGCTGTCCAAGCTGTCTATCTGCGATAGTCCATCCCAGCGTGGGGGTGTCCCCAAGGAAAGGGAGGGCCCTGGGCCAGGGTGGACAGCTCTGAGCTTGTTTTTCTCTCTCTTCTACCCTTTCCCTGGATTCCACAGGAAAGAGACTTTCCAGCTCCACACGGCAGTGGGGCAGATGCTTCCTGCGTCTGCCGCTGGGGAGTGTGCTCACGGCCAGCTTGCTGAGCCGTCACAGTGCACTGAGAGCACAGGGCCTGCACCTGGCTCCCAGGTGGAGAAACTGCGGCCAAGGGAAGCCTGGGAGCTGCCCCACCAACATTTTTGCTGATGCCCCCATTCTCTGTCCAGCTCCCAGTGTGAGTTTATTAGCAGAGGGACAAAGGAAGGGGCAAAGTGCCCAGGAAGGGCTGGGAGGAAACCATGAGGCGAGCTAAAGGAAACAGCACAGAGCCTCTGACTGAGATGAGGTCACTGAAGGGCAACTGGCTCAAGGACATTTAGGTTATGAGAGGGTGGGCAACAGTGGAGCTCACTCCAGGCATACACAGAGGGACAGGGACCCTGAAGGTCACTTAACCCTCCTCTGCTAGTTTCAAACACCCTGTCCTTGAAGGGGAGACCCCCAGGGCACATGGCAGGATTCTGGGCCTGGGGTGAGGGTAGGAGTGGACGTGGATGTGGACGGGTGCTCAGGGTCTGTCCTGTTGGGTCGAACATACCCAGGCTCCTTGTCAGTTTGTGATGGAGCACGTTTTTATCCTTGAAGGCTCCAGGCAGACGGAACCAACCAGGCACTGACGTTTGGCTACCTGGAACGCCTGTCCACTGCTGTCAGATCTCTAATTCCCCCTGCCTGGTCTTGGCCCTGGGAGGCCAACGAGAGCCCTGCCAGGTTCCATCTGAGACGAGTGCTGACATGAGGAATGCCTTCAAACAGCTGCTGGCACGAATCCAGGACTCCAAACAGGGGCCAAGAGGCACTGAGGACAGGCCTGGCCTGTGCTGTCGGCTCCCGGTGCTTCAGCTCTGCCTCCACAGCCGGCGCTGCCCAGGGAGGCAGTTGCCTTCCAGCCCTGCAGCCTCAGGAACAAGGATGCGGGATGTTCACGCCTTACACCCCATCTCTAAGGCACCACTCACTCACTCAGGGGGGAGGCAGAGGAGCTTTCACTCGCATTAGCAGGAAAGATGAAACGGCACGAGCATGTTTGTTTTTTTCCCCTTGGCAGGGTTTGGTTCCCACATCCACCATAAGGAGAGTCAGATTCATTCTCACTGTTTTCTGGGAAGAACTTTCTAACTCACTGGGGACAGTTTCTTGACCCCACCAAGCTGTTTCAACGCCACAGAACACACAACCAACAACCACAAGAGTGATAGTTTCTTTTTTTAGAAACTGTAATAAGATGTCAAACTTTATTGTAAACCATTTTACAGTGTAAGTACATCGTCTTCCCTTTCATTTCAAAAATGTGTTTCTGTGACTCATAACACCACAAATTGAACCACCTCCACTGGGGGGCCATGGTTTGCTCACATAGGTCTGACTCCTAACAAACTTCATGAAAAGAGAAACCAAATTAAAACAACCCACCCACCTACTCAGGAGCTCAAGGGCCCTCCCCCAAAGCAAAGCCCTTCGGAGCTACCAATGTTTCGCAGGGTAAAACAGACAGCTCTCTGTTCCTCGCTGGAAGTGTGTGAAACTTCTAAAGGTGAGCCCTGCACCCTCCAGGGTGGCTGCTCTGGCTGATGGCAAGTTCCCAGAGTCATCGATGTTCACCTGGCTGCAAAATGGCCAGTGGATTGTTGTCTAGAGGGCAGAGTGAGATGCTGACACCTGCTGCTCCCTCCAGGCTCCTGGGGCAGCCTTTAGTCGGGGACTCTGGGCTGCAGCCTCTAGGCCCATACTGCCGAGGGGAAGAAGCAACTTGAATTTGAACCTTTACATATATTCCCTCTACAGGCATGGTCAACATTAACCCATGACTCCTTGTTGTCAGGAAGAGGCACAGGTTAAAGCTTGAGGCTGGAGGCTACCAGCGTGCCTGAAGGCTAATTAGTGGGACTTCACACGGTAGGGCCTTTGGACTGAGCAGACCAAGAAGCCACTGTTGACAGGGGTCTCATCAATGTTCCTCCTTGCCACTGACAATGTCCCACTGGCAGCCAAAGGGAAAACGGGCAACGGTGGTCTCTTTCATTCAGACAGTAGATGTGACAATTCTACTTCATCAGGTTACTTCCATCAGTTACAAGAAACTTGTTCCTGGCCTTCACTTACAAGTTTCCATGAAGGGTGGCATGGCTGAGGTCCAAATTCAGACAAACCAGATGGACAGTGCACAACATCCAGCTGGTGTTCCGTGGCTTCTCACACATGATGACGCTTGCCCTGGGGCAGGTGAAGGGCTGCACCTCATAAGGCACCTCGGAGCAGTTGGGAGAGAAAGCTTACCCCAGGAGGGAGGCCAGCTGGGAATTAAGTCCTGGCCACGGCCCACCGTACCCACTGTCTCGGGACAGTGCACCACAGAAAAGCCCTCAGTAACCACAGGAGAACCGCAGGAGGCACTCCTGGGGGATACAAACTGTGTGCATGTACGTGTGCGTGTGAGTGTGCACAGAGGGTAAGGCCAAGCATGCCAACGATGCCCTATACAACTAGACTCCAGTAAATGTCCATGCCCTAGGTAGCCAGCTACCATACAACTGCTGCTCAGAGACGAAACTCCTTTGAAAATCAGGAAACAGGGAGAAACCACCACTTGCTCGCTACCTCTTGGTCCCCAAAACCTATTGCCCAGCAGGCACTGTGACGAGCAGATCATTTGGGATCTGTATAACCCAGCTCCATCCTTCACAGCCTGTGGGTCTCCTGCCCACTATTGCTGGTTTGGAAACATCAGGATCTCAAGACTGAAAGAAAAGCTCAGATTCTGGGCTCAGGGAGGTGCGGGAAACAGCTGTGACCACAGGTTAATAAAAATGAAAGGTAGCAGGAGACAAAATAAGGCGAGTCAGCGATGCCCACCACCTACCAGGACCAGAGGCAGGCCTGGCCTTCCCGATGCAGGGCTGCCCACTAACACAGCTGGAGGCTGGAGGGGGGAGAGCATGGGATGAAAGCAGGGTGAAGGGAGAGTGAAGATAGGCTCATCGTCCTCTCCTGTGGCCACTGGCACCCACCCAAGCAGAGGCGCCGCCCATGGCAGTTCAGGTCCGGGCTCCTCTGGCCCTCCTGCTTCTGGACTCTAGAGAATGACAGGCTGAGAAGTCCTCTCCGAGGTTTGTGCCCTTACGGCCCACACAGGTGGGACTGCAGGAGGCAGAGGATAGACCCGGGATGCCTGGTTTAACACTGTGGCTCACACGTCACAATTCAGACCCAATCTGCTTGAGTGAAACACATTGTTATATAGGTCTAAAAGGAAGGTTCTGGGTGGTGTGGGCTCCCTGCACTGATCTCACTTCCAACTCGCACCTTTGCTACGAGGTTCTCTACTCCTAAACTTTCAGGACGACCCTGGGCTGGGACAAAACACTGGGCTGCTTTGCCTTGCTGCTCCCACAGCAGGCGAGTACCTGGGTCAGCCCATTCCACTGCCGGGCAGCAGACTCCCAAAGCCACGGGGCCTGTGCCCATTCTGAGGAGTGGGGGCCACAAGTTTAGAAAGAAGCACTTCATCCTGCCTGTGGATGCAGACAGCGAGCTCACTCACCTCCACCTGCCCCATAGTGTGCCCAGCCACCCTGCTGCTCTGGAGGATGTAAACAATAGGATCTCATGGTCAGACAGGCATTCTCTAGACTGCTGCACAAGATAAGTAGACAACACTAGGCTGACAGGCACGGGGTAGCCTGAGAGGACGCTCCAAGAGAGGGGTCCAGAGTCTGGCTCTGCAGCTTGTACCATGGGAGGCGGGAAGGCCAAGTCTGCGTTTTAAACTTCGGATCTGGGGATTCTGAAGAGATGTAGGGAACAAACAGGAGTGGCCTTGGAGTCTCAGTTTCTCTGGACACAATATCCTCTTATGCTCCCTTTTCAGTCACATTTCACCAAGACTCTAACTTGCCAGCTGAAGTGCCAAGTGCTGCTAGGCCCTGGGCAGAGCCCTTCCTGCTCCACCCTCACAGGCCCTGGATCCACATTCGGACCAGCTGCCTCCTGCTCATGCCTGACCTCTGCAGAACCACTGGGTTTGCTGATTTCAGATAAGGGCCCACCTCCCTTCCTACTGGAATCATTTACCTCATCGGATCACAGATTACCTAACGATATTCCAAATAAAAAAACTCCCAACTTTTTCCTCCCACCAGTTCACATCCCATGAAAGGCAAACAAACCCATTTCTTTGGGGGTAAAAAAGAGCTTTTAAATACAATAGTATGAAAATATAACTTAAACATATAAAAGTCAACAGCATACGGAAGACTTAAAAATCTATGTTTTGCCCATTAGTCCCATAGGAAATAAACACATACTCAAAAAACATTAACACTGTGACAGCTCATAAAACCAGCCATAGAAATCAATAGTTACAAAAGCCATTTCGAGTAAGAAAGCATCACGGTTCCAACTTGGTCAATGAGTAACTCAGCCCCCAGACATGTTCCGTCTTCACACTCCCCCCTGAAGCCCTGGCGAGAGGCTCCACCTGCGGTCCACGTGCAGGTAAGTTCTCATCCTCAAGGCCACCCGGCCAGACATGGGACAGGGCTTCCGGGTCCCTCGCAACACCACTCGGGACGACAACACACAAACAAAACGCCTCGCTTGCATATTTGGTCAGTGTTTGTAGTGCAACTGAGTGGGGACCTCCAGCTGCCGCGTGGAGCTGGCGGCCTACCTCCCCGGGTCACAGTATCTGGGAGCGGGCGAGGCCGCGGGCGGAGTGGAGGTAGAAGAGGGGCAGAGAGAGGAGGGGAGGGAAGACGCGGCTGAGCGACCCTTGGCTGACCGGCGGCCGGCCGTGGGCCCCCACCCGACCCTGGCTCGGGAATGCGTCATACAGGCAGCCCAAAGCGGTGCTTCTTTTTCTTCGCGGGCTTCAAGGGCGTCAGTCTCCGGAGGTCTTCCTCCACGTCCGACTCCTCCATCTCGTCATCGGCCGAGATCAGGATCTGAGTAGTGGAAAGGCATGGCCCTGAGTCACTGCCAGTGATGCCCTCTTCACCTCACCCTGGACCCCCGTTTAGAGCGCCAACCTGGCCAGGAGGCCTCAAGTGTCAGGTTTATTAGCAGAGGGAGATGGGGAGGTCCCCCTTTACAGAGTGAGACAAGCTGTCCCTCACCCAACCTTGTTTACACCAAGTGCACCCACAGGTGCTGACACCAGTGCTGAGTGGACACGCCTCCCCTCTGCTCCTGCTTCTCCATCCAACCTCCAGCTAGGACCGAACCACCATCAGAGCAAACTTAGCATAAGGTCACACTGGCCAAAAAAGCCCAGTGTTGGCATATGGAGTACCAGGTCCTTGAAATTGGTTCAAATACAGCAAAAGCGCACTGAAAAGTCCCTTTTTGAAAGGAAAACACCTGTGGGGCACACACAAAGCAGGGCCATTTCAGAGTGGCTGCTATGAGCCAACCTCATAAACTGCTGAAGACAAACAGGAGCCCTCTGCTCTTCTGAGCCCCTAGAACAAGATGGCCACACAGCTAGGGCACCTGGAGCAGACAGCATTCACTGCCCACCTGCATAGCTGCTCAGGCTTCGGAGCACTGGGGAAGGACAGGGACAGCCCAGGCCGAGATGGAGAGGCCCAGAGCACACCTGCACAGGGGCAGCTTATCTTCCTCCAGTGCAGGGTGCTCTCACTACCCTCCCTGCAGGGCTTCCCGCCTCTTGTCCCGGTCCCCTGATTGAGCACTCTCTCTGGCTCCCTATCACCTGTACAAGTGCGTGCCCATTCCACGCTCTGAGCTAACACCTTGCCCAGCTAGCTCAGACCTTGGTCTGTAACCCACTTCCTGTCATGCTATCCTACCCTCTGGAATACATGCTACTCTGGCCACAATGAACTTCACATTATTACCCAAATACCAAACCACAGGACCAAGACGCCTCAGGAGCAGCTGCTTCTGCCTAAAACGTTGTTTGTCCTTCACCTAATGTTCACCATGTTCTTACAACACGACAGGCCTCATGCCAGATTTGAGGGGCACCTAGAGAAGAGGCAGGCTTCCCCTCTGTCCTCCACCAAGGTGGTTTTCTTTTTTTTTTTTTCAAGGTGGTTTTCAAAGCGCTCTCCAGGATGCCCCAAGGGGCTAAACCAACTGTTCCGAGTTCTCGCAGGGTTTTGTCATTGCCTCAATCTCAAAACGGGCTTCCTTTGTGGCTCAGCTGGTAAAGAATCCTCCTGCAACGCAGGAAACCTGGGTTTGATCCCTGGGTTGGGAAGATCCCCTGGAGAAGGGAAAGGCTACCAACTCCAGTATTCTGGCCTGGAGAATTCCACAGACTGTGCAGTCCATGGGGTCGCAAAGATTCGGACACGACTGAGCGACTTTCACCTCAATTCACTTCAATCTCAAAACATATCACTGACTGCTAAGATGGGCTGTGCAAGCTGGCTATCACTTACCTCAGCCACAGGTGTGAAGGCCTCTCAGAGAAGACATCCTCAGCCATTTCTGTCACCCGCACCCATGGTGCCATGCACCTACAATCCTGCCTCGGACATACAATCTTGCCTCCAGGCTCCTATTTATGGCCACCAATCTCCCTGAGGTCAAAACATTTCCACTTAGGGAACCTGAAAATAAGGGGAGATGAGGTTCTCCCTGGGAGGCCTGGCTCCCCCCACAGAAGTTTCCAGTCGGCTTAGCCAACACTTCCCTTGCTCCGGAGCGATGGGCAGGGATTCAAACGCCTTGATGCTTAAAGGACAACCACGCCCACTCGTCCTTGCCAGCTTCCCTGGAACAATGCTGCTCCTCCCTTTCCTGTCTTGCTCCACCGATGGAGGGGCTGCTGGAAAAGGGCCATCCCTTACCAGGGCTTCCCGGCCCGAGGAAGGACCAGGGGACAGCAGGAATGGGTCCCGGCTGGACAGGAGCTGTCAGCTTCCTCTCCCTCCCGCTGGTGGGGCTGTGACTCAGCATTCAAGAGACGGCCAGATTCGCACACAAGACCAGACCCTTCCTGGGTCAGCGGCACGAGGCTCGGTCCTACCTCAGACTCTGACTCCTCATGGGACGCGGCCCTTCGGTAGCGGACCTTGCTCCCGTTCCTCGAGTCCTGGTTGGCTCCTCTTTCTTCTAGCTTAGCTTTCGTCCTTCCCTTTCTCATGAGGAAATTGTCCACTACCCAAAACATCAAAGCCTGTGGGAAGAAAAATGCAGGTCACTCTGGGATAAGACACTTATGAAAGCAAAGGCAAGTAGCCCCCACACCCATCCTCCTCACCCCCATTCCAGATCACAGCGTTAAGAACTAGGGAGAGGGAGACATCATGCAGGCCCTTGCTCCCTCTCAGAAGTCAAGGAAGAGACTTCCAATCCCTGTGCCCTTACTTCAAGAGTTTCGCTCCAAGGGGTTCTCTGCTGGTGACTGAAGGGGATAGCCTGCTTCGGGTGTCCCAGCAATCAGCAGAGCAGGGCCTGAACCAAGGTCTTTGGACTCCTGGTAGGGGCTCCTCCCCTGGGCTGAGTCGCTGGCTGGCACACCCGTCACATCTGTCACCCCCAGGTTCCTTTACCATTTCTTTCCTATTTCCTAAAGTCTAGCCAGTGTGCTTCTGAGTTTCTCTAGGAGCGCTGTGATCAGGAAGTTTCTCCAGGAGCCCTGCAGTCAGGAAAATTCCTGACAGTCTTCATTCCTAATGGTCTTAATCTAGAAGTCACTGTTACACACGTGGCAGTTCCCTGGTAGGGAAGGCAGGACAAAGATTCCAGGACCCTCCAGTTTGCACAGAGGCCCTGGAGCAGGATCTTCATGTTGAGGAAGCAATCTGGATGTTTCTAGGTCTGGGGTGGGGATGAGAGTTGACTAATACTTGCATGAAGGCACCCAAGTGCTATAAGGTGTTTTCTCTGTCACAATTTTGAAAGGAACACAGGAAGGCATGGAGCAAACAGAGGTTAAGAAATGCAATAAGGCACTGACATTGACAAAGAAGGGGACAATCAGCATGACGATGGCCAGCTTCAAGTCTGGGTTTTCAATGGGATTCAACAGGGCCACCTGTAAAGAGAAGCAGAATTAGTGAGGTGGGGGGAAGATCACAAATATCGTTTCCGGGGGGGTGGGGAGAGGCAGGGAAATGGCCCACGAGGCCCTGAGAGGAGGCTTTGCTAAGACACTCCCCTCAGAGCCCTGATGAGAACCGCACCTCACACCCAGGGCCACACAGTCCCCAGGCCTGACTGCCAACAAGGGACCCCTTTGGAGCCCACTAGGAGCAGGTAATCCTTGAGAAGCTTTCCCCTGCTGTGGATGTGAGAAGTGAAGGGAGGCTGGAGGCCGAAGGACTTTACAAAGTTGGCACAGGGTAGAGTGTGGGCTTCAGCAAGTTGGAGAGTAAGGTTGGTGGACAGTCTTTACAGATACTAGCAATGAGGCGCTGGCCACTTTCTAATGGAAATCCTGCACACCAACCATCTCCTCAACAACAACAGCTCCCAAAAACCTTAGTTTATTTTTTTAAAAAATAAAACTCGGCCATAAATAAAACCAAAGATCTGAGTTACTTTGGCTGGTTTCCTGTAGGCAGTGGAGGCTTATCTGCACAGCCCTGGGGCCAGAGGGCAGTGTTAGGAACCACAGGAACATGTGACCAGCCACTGCCTATGGCCCCAAAAGGCTTGATTAAACCACTGGCCAAGAGAGGTGAATGAGGAGGCACCTGCAGATGCAGAGACCGTTCGCTGACAACACCTAACAGTTACCCAATGGCGTAGGCAACTGCAGGGCAGGGACTGCATCTTCATGGGCTTTACCTATTTCCAAGGCTTAATCTAGAGCAGATATGTATAAGGGAGGTAGAAGGATGCTATATGAAAAAGTGACAAGTTACTGCTCTTGATACACGGCCAGGAGCTGCCCCATCAGACCAAATCCAGGTACCTTCACAGAGTTAAAAAGAAGACCAATTTAGTTTCCCAACAGGGCTGGCATGGGGATTGGGGAAGGGGGGAATACTGTCTTTCTTGACATCTCAAGGAGTTGGTAAAGAAGGGAACAAGAGGCAAACCTTCTTCCACTGAAGTATTAGGAGGACGATGAAAACGACAGATTTTTCAAAAATCATGATCACAATGTAAAGGGCACATTGTCCAACCCAGGCTCCGCACTGCAGAGGGTCTCCTGCAGGGAGAGAGGGCTTGGTCACTCGGGTGGTCACTCGGTCACCCCCACTCCCATCACCCACAGCTTCCATGAGCCCTCAACCCCCACCACACCCAAGAGCTCCTATATGAGCCCTCCAGAGCACCAAGAATCAGCTTGTCTTGAACAAACAAAAATCAGAGAATTCCTAATTTGGAGATACCAAAGTGGCCTTTCTTTTAAGAGACTCTAAGATATAATTACAAGGCACTAAAGTTAGTAAGTGCCCATTGCTGGGGCTGAGAAAAGCTGGCTCTTTTGGTCCACTGGCAGCAAAAGCTGTGTTAAGCAAGACTGCTATTATTATCCACTGTTGATGTTTCCAGTGGTGCTACCCATCCTCTCCCCATCCGCGAGCAGGCTAAGGTTTCTGAATCAGGAAGGCAGCAAACAACCTCTTTCTTTGCCTCTCACCCCTGTCCCACTTCTGCTGCCATTCCCCACTCCCCCTCACTTTCCTGCTGCCCTCAGCCCTGAAAGTAAGAAACCTGACTCTGGGGGGTATTCAGATTTTGTCTAGGGGCACCCTAAAACACCCTGGACTGGGGACAAGGAAACAAAGAGAGAAGCCCCCCAAGTAAGGAGGCTGTGACAAACGTCTGTCTGTGATCCCGTCGGTCACTGAGATGAGAAAAAGAAGAGGCCAGCAGTCCACACTGGGGGACACTTGGCTCCTCAAGCTCCTCCAGAATGATTCAAAAGGGTAGATGAAGGATGGAGGACCCCTCCAGTGAACATCCTCCATCTTCAGCGACAGGGAGAACCCATGAGATGGGTCCCTGGGGAGCCACACACCTTCAGCGCAGGAGACCCAAGGCAGGGCGGGGCGTTATGTGTGCCCTAGCCACTCTGGAAGCCCTACTGGAGCTGCTTGATTACAGTGGCCAGGAGGGGGCTAGAGAGTAACTGCAGAGAAGACAAAGGCCCCGACCCAGGCCCCCAGAGGGATCTCTGGCTTCTGTTTCCAGTGTCCACAGCAACCCCTGTCTGGGGTGGCTGCCGGCAGTCCCCAGGCCAACCCGCTCTGCGTGGTGGAGCCCCAGGGGAAGCCTTCCACAGCCATAATGGACACAACCCCAGGCCATTCCCTTTTCTGGAAAATCTCGGGAGAAGTGCACAGAAAACATGCAGAAAGACCTCAGTGTGTCTCCTGCAGTGTCCTATTTACTTTCACTTTTGGGTAAGGCACATCTGAGCCAAAAAGCCATTTCAGAAGCACAATCTCTCCTAACTAGGTTTTTACTGGAGTTTTGTAATCCTTTCGGTAAACTATCTGACGTTATTGAGGAAAGTTCTCAAAAACAGCAGCTCAAAATACTTGCTAAAAACCGTTCAGTGAAATGGGGGATGGTCAGACAGAAGCACCAGTAGGACAGACAAATGAACTGAGACTAGTGTGTTTAAAAGTCAACAAGACAAGTGGTAACACATTTAATATCAAACAAAAATCTACTTGCATCATGCTCACCCCATTTGCTCTAAGTCTTAAGTGGCAACAGAAGAAGAAAATGCTTTTCCTCCTGTTGTCCTCATGCTACCCCCTGAATTTCACTGCTTTGAGTTTCAGAGTCACCCCCCTTAGCTGCAGCTGCCTTTTTTTTTTCAGCGTAGATGCCTGAATAAGAAAGTTTTAAAGCAAAAAAAAAGTCACATGTGACCCCACTATCACAGACCATGTCCCCTGAGCATCCAGCACATAGCCACATAACCACCAGCACATGCGCTGGTTTTTCTGATTTGTTTCATTTGAGAGTCTTTCTGGCATTCCCCGCAACCTCATCTTTCAAGAAGAGACAAGCCAGGCATTCTCGTGTGCCCTGCTTTTTATTACCACACTGGACACCCTCAGGTACTTGGGTGTTTTTGCTGGATTATTTCCTCAGGATAAATCATGGGAATGGGACCAAAAGGATGGAACTTGTCTGTATGTAGAGATGCTTCCAGAGGAGTACTGGGACAAGGGCCGGTGGCAGGGCCCAAGCAATAGGTGCCCGAGGGACACAGACTGTTTCCAGGAATTCTGTCTGGGGAAGAGAAGCCTAGTCTTCAGACTGCGGACCCGTCTCCCTGAACCTTGCCTTATCCCTCAGGGCTGCGTGGGCTATTCCCCACATCGCATGCTTTCCTTAGTAAGTTCACCTTCTCTTCTAGGGATCACAGGAATACCCAGAAAACAAGCCCCTCTCCTTCAGTAACCTGAGAGGAGAGCTCTGGGCCCTGCTTGGAACCACTGCCTCAAGTGGATAGGCCAGTTAACAGGTACAGTAGGGAGAATAATGTCCACACCCTAATCCCCAGAACCTGAGACTATGCAGCTACTGTGCAGAAGGGAATTAAGGCTGCAAATGCAGTAACAGTGACTAAGCTGACAAGATGGGAAGAGCATCCCAGCCTATCCAGGTGGCCCAGTAATCACAAGGGCACTTCAGAGTGGAGGAGGTGTGAAAGGTCAGAGAGACATATGAGAAGAACTCAACCTGCGGTTGTGTGTATGTATGATCAGTTGCTCAGTCGTGTCCAACTCTTTGTGACCCCATGGACTCTAGCCAGCCACTGTCCTCTGTCCACAGGATTTTCCAGGCAAGAATACTGGAGTGGGTTACCTACTCCAGGGGATCTTCCTGACCCAGGTATCAAACTCGGGTCTCCTGCATTGCAGGAGGATTCTTTACCACTGTGCCACTTGGAAGCACTCAACCTGTGGTTACTGGCCCTGAAAATGAACAAAGGGGCTACAAGCTAAGAAATACAGTCACTGTCTAGAATCTGGACAAGGTCAGGAAACAGGTTCTCTTTGTAGAGACTCCAGAAGGAACCAGTCCTGCTGACAACCTGGCTTTAGTCCATGAGACCCTTTGTCAGACTTCACTACAGACTGTAAGATAATACATTTGTGTTGTTTTAAGGCAATAATTTTGCAGTAATTTGTTACAGTAGCAAAAGAAAATAATAAAAACAGGAACCAGGTATCTGAGAATAGCCACTGTCCTTCCTCAGCCTGGGCAGGGAGGACCCAGATGGTCTTTGATAAAGGGCAGCTTCACCTGGAAATACCCTGGCTTGAAGACTCTGGTTCCCAAAGGCAGGGGGTGGGATGACCCAAGGGCAGGTGGCAAAAAAGAGGTTCAAACAACCACTGCTACCTTTTTTCCATCTCTCTTAGGGATGCAAACAAAACACACTGGTAACAGGTACTACCATAATTTCCAGTGTATCGGGACCAGGCCTGGTCTCCACTCCCAGGTCACTGAGCAGCACGACTGGGTACGAGTGGCTCTCCTGTAGCACCGCTCAGCTATAGCTGACTTTTGAGAGTCCTGCCTTCCAGGAGGGATCTCAACAGCAAAGACGATCTGAGCACTGTTCTTGGAGCTGGTGGGAGGATCGGGTATCCCAGTGTAGCAGCCAAGAGGCCCTCCAAGCTGTGCACTGCCTGGGTGAGCGTCACTCAACCCCTGTGGGTGCCTATCCTATAAACGAGGATGATGCCACTTTGGTCCACATGCGCGTGGTCCATTTCTGTCCTCCACGCTAAGGAATCAATGACTTGGAGCTTCTCCGCAGGGAAGACCCTGAGCCACAGAGGCATACGCTGTGTGTCGGACACTATCTTAAGTCAGTGACTCATCAGGCGTCAAATAACGAGGCTAAGAAAAGCCCTCCCCTGAGCTCACCTCCCATCAATGGAGACAAACAATTACTTAAGACTTCTAGAAATACCCCAGGCACTCACAGCCAGCTCCAGGAACCGGCTCTCCCTTTAAATGCCAGTCTCTTGTGGGTCCTCCCCATCTTGGCCCATGTGCCCCTCACGACAAAGGTTCCACTGATGCCGTGCCCATGAATGGGAGCTCCTGGCCACAGACAGCAGGGCCCGCTGTGAAGGTGGGAGAGAGGTGGATTCCCAGAACGGGGCAATCAAAGAAACCCCTCTCACCAGCAGCCCTTCAGGCCACATCCAGCTCCTTCTCTGCGGGTAGTAAGTAAAAGGCACCCTGTGTGCACTTGGAGCCAGCACGAGGGCAGCTTCCTACCAACGCTGTATCCCCAGGGTCTGACAAGACGGAGTGGGTCAACACTGCGCCAGTATCCACAGGCCACCTGTTCTAGGCTTGGTGTCTGTGAGTGAGGATGCCCCTAGTGTCCCTGGTGACTGTACATGCGGGATGCCAGGTGGGGGGCTGGCCCATGGTCAGGCGATGGCAAGGTGACTTGGCCCTGGGGTGGGGGAGGGACACTCCAGTCCTGATCTTGTGAGCTCCGGTAGTGGAACGGCCCAGTGACAGGACAAGTATGGATATGCAGCAGAAAGAAGAGCAGCTCCAAGCTTAGACAGCTCCACCCCTGTCTCTGCAGCAAGGCAGGCAGGTGGTGAGCCTGGTGGGAAGCATGGCGGAGGAAGGTGGCCTTACCGCCCCGCAGGTAGGGCTGCTGGTGCCCTCTGCTGGAGGAGGGCCCTGCCCCCTCCCTGTCTCGAGGGTGAACCCTATGGTTCCTGCCAGCAAGGCTGGGGACTTGGCAGTGAAGTGGGCACCTACCCACCTGCCTCACATAGGAGGGTGGAGCTCAGGCTCCAGAACCAGCCTCTCCACCACAGAGGACACAGCCAGCTGCTCCCAAACCTTCTCCAGCCCAGTGGCCTGGAGAGCTGTACAGGGAAAGGAGCAGAGCCCTCCAGGAAGATCCCTCCACACCCCCGTCCGGTGTCCATGCTACGTTACCATATTCGCCAAAACGCAGAGACTCCCACTGCTGCCACTCCACCAGGACACTGACGGCGCGCACGCCCGCGTAGATGAGGAGCATGCCCACGGTGGCGTCCAGGAGGAAGTTGATGAGGTACCTGTGAGGAGAAGGCACCACGGCACCGTCAGGAAGCACCACCTGGGGAGCCACTACCAGGGAGCCAGGCCCCACATGCTTCTTGGGTCAAGGTCAAGGCTGGGGACCCGGCCCTGTTTGGCCCTGTTCTGGGAGGGGGAGCCTCCAGCGAGCCTGTGCGGGGGAGGCTGTCGGGGTCACTTCCGGAAGCCTAGAAAGGCCTCCCAACCCAGGACAGTGCCCTGCTCAAGGAAGGTGGGAGAGCAACAAGAGACTCAGAAGACCTCAAGTGTTCCTGCCAAACAGAGACTGGGACAGAGTGACTGGGAGCAGCCAAGGAGGCTGGTAGGAAAACGGAACTTAATTGACAAAAATAGTTTGTTCCACGACTGCTCACTCCCTGAAGGCCCAGCCCTCCCAAGGCCCTGAGACAGTGCTGCTGCTCAGGGCAGGGTGGGAAACGGCCTCTGGGGTTTCTTAGACCAAAACGGGCAAGGCCACGTGCCCTGTACTTCACGGCCTGCCACAGAGGCAAGCACCAGCAAATACCTATGGAAAGGGCAAGATGATGCAGGAAGGAGAGGAGGGTCGGAAGAGTATGCCCACCCTGACCTCTTGTTCTTGTGGGGTCTGTTTCTATCTGTCCGACATACACCTCTTCCCTCACTTGGCCCCTTGCCCACTAGCCCTCCTTTGAGGGCCCTGAACACAGGACCTAGCTCTCTAGACAAAGCAGGACATAAGCAGTCATGGGGTCAGGTGCCCTCCTGGATGCCACATAGCTTGGAAACACCCCAGAGAAGCTACAGATATGACAGACTAACTGCAGCACTTCCAAGTTGAGAGGCTTGAGATACTTAGGCAGTCCTATGCCCCTACCCCGAGGCCTGGCCTCAATAACGTGCACAGTACTCTGAAACCCAAGGGAGCAAGTTGGAACCAGCGCCCTGGGGTGATGGGAAAAACAGAGGGAGGGGACAACGGCCTTTTCCTCCTGCCTGCCTTCCCTCTTTAAAATCACAAGGGGTCACTCTCAGACCAGAGACTAGAGACAGCATATGAGACTGCTTCCCAAGCAGTCTGTCCAAGGTCACACTGAGCTCCGGCCCTAGGCTAACGCTGCCCTCATGCTTAGACCACACTGGTTTCAAGTGGTTCCGACATCTGGGACCCATCCTGAAAATATCAAGAGTACCTGATACAGATGTATGTATTACTTCATTCATTCCCTCACCGAACACTGATTCCAGCCTACTGTATACCAGACCTTGGGAACACAGACAGGAAGCTTTAGACCCTCCCCTCAACACAGGCAAGACTGGCAGCCAAAAGGGTATCCTGTGGGCCTCAGACCAGAATGGGTTCAAATTCCCACTCCATCACTCTTGAGCTGTGTGAACTCAATTAAGTTATAAAAATTTCTCTGCTTCAATTCTCTAACTGTAAACTGAGGAAAATCCAAATATCTATATTGCAGGGCTGTTATGAGGATCCAATGAGTAAATATAGGTGAACAGAGTCTGCCACGTAATAGGTGTTACAGAGATGAGCTGTTAGAATCCTAGCCCCTGAGACGTCACAAGGACCAAACTCCCACCCAGAGCAGTACCCCCAGCACAGGGAACCTGTCGCCACAGGGAGCAGCTCATCCTCCTTGAAGTTTCTCCTCTCCCTGAACTGACTGGTTTCCCTTGTAGATATGCAGAAACCCAAGATGGCCCAGGTCCAGCCCAACCCTTCCCCCACCTGTAAACAGTCACAGGGCAAAGAAAGGATGGTGGGGCTGGAACAGATCCCACTCCGGCACTCACTCTTCCACAGGCCAGGCACTCTCTCTCCTGCTCTGCCTGCCAAGTCTCTCCCCAACAGCTCTTCGACCAACTGCTGGAGCTCCACATCTTTCCCAAGCTCTAATGACAATATCCTCTGATTGAGCTACTAACATCTTCACTGATAAGTACCCCAGTGGCTTCCAATGGTGCCTGGACCCATCATCTCATGAAACCTTTGCACTGATCCTGGGGATCTGGATGAGGAAACAGAGGCTCAGAGAAGTTGAGCAGCCTTTTCACAGCATGGCTTCCAGAGATCTGTCAGCAGCTAACATCCCCTTCTCCATCCTGGCTGTGATTCAGTTTGTCAATGACCCACAATGACCACAGTGGGACCAGGAGATAGGCTTCCTCACCCCAGGGTCTCCAGGGTGAGCAGCTGGCTCTCAGTGTATCTCAGCCAACCAAGATGGTTCAGCAGAGGATGACACGAGCTTGCTGCTGGGCTCAAGGACTAGAAGGAACAGGCCCTTTCCTAACCAACTCCCCTACAGACAATCCCCCTTCCAGTCCCCTGCTTTGGGACTACACCCAAACGATGAGAACCTATCCAGGTCTTCAGGAAAAACCCTGGGGAGGGAAGACTTTACAACTTCCTTCTGAGTCTGGACCTGGACTAAATCTCAGAATTGCACACTGTCACCAAACAAGAGAAGCTTAAAGGAATCTTCTAGTCAAGATGGTCTTAAATATACGCTAAATCTTTTGGCAAGGATCTCACCAGCCCTCCAGCCTGCTCTCCCTCAGAGGCAGGGCAGGGCAGGGCTGGGGGGCATTCCAGGCAGCGGGCAGTGCAAGCAAAGGCGCAGAGGAAGGAGGCAGCTGGTGGGCTTGAGGACCACCAGGAGCAGCTCAGCATGGCTGGAGCACCAAGTCTGAGCAAGGAAGGCAGCAGATGGAGCCAGGATAAGGCAGGGGAGCGGCCTTTTCCATTCCATGGCACTGCTCGAGTGTTGTTAGCAAAGAGGTCAGGTGACGTGGTCCAACTGGGGTTTCAGGCAGATGACTCTGGGGGTTGTGTGGAAGGCACATTGACTGCACTGACAAGGCGGAACCACTCATGGTCTTCAGGTCAACTAGGTCAATGGTGGTCAACAATGGCTCTGACCCCGAGTGGCTGACACAACAGAGAAGCCCGTGTGTCTTGTTTCAGCAGTCATGCCTTCCAAGCTGCTGTGCAAGGGCTTCTTGGAAACTTGGAGACATAAGGGCACTAGGAGGCCAAGGGACAGAACTTAGGTTGATAAGCAGAAAGCCAGTACACAGGGCCACCATCACTGGGCAAAACTCCAACACTCAGCATGCACATGACGATCTCTCAGAGGGGAACAGGGGATGAAGGGGAATTGTTCCCTCCCCAAGCCAAAGGGAACATGACTGGCAATAGAAGGAAAGGCATGGAGGGCCAGGTGATGTTTGCACTCAAATACGGTCCACTTACAGTGAACAAGGGTCCTCTTCATTGAGATCTGCTAGGTATACATTTGCAAAATGGATGAACAGCATTCCTATGGCTTGTTTGGAAGTGTCTAAAAACCTGTACAAAACAGAATCATCACTTGTTATCACTCTAACAGGAGGGTAATATCCAATTTGGGGAAAATGTTAAGTCTGAAATAAGAAAAAAACAGCTGCTGGGGAGACTCCACCTTCCAATTACTAGTCCCCTCCTCTGGGGGCGCTAGTACTAACTCTGGCTTGGCCTTTTGGCTACCTTTCAAAACCACCAGTAACAGTGCATCCCTGAAAGGCCGCTCACTGATAACACAGATTTAAACACACAAAACACATTTAAAATATGTGTCTCTACCTTTTCGTTACTTCAAAACAAAACACTAGATCAAAGCTTTGGATGAGGTCCAAGGTGCTTCTACTTTAAAGAGCACCCAACTGACTTCACAACTGCATAAACTCAATGACATGCAAGCTTAACAAGACTTGCATGAATCCAGCACTACTGCCAGAAACCTGAGCAACCTTCAGATGCTGCAGCTTAAACAATGGGCGGGACCCAGGTGGACATGCGGTCCTGTGAAGGGTCTGAGGATAGATATTTTAGGCTGTGAGGGTCATCGTATTCTGCGTGACTATGCACTCTGCTGCTGCAGCGCAAGGGCAGCCAGGGTCACTAGAACCCCAATGACATTTTTACTTGTGGAGACAGACAGTGGCCAGGTTGAGGCTGTGGGCTATAACTTGCCAATCCCGGGATAGAGGAGAGGAGTTTTAGAAAAGAAAAAACAAGTTCTGTAGTCTCTGGGACACATGGCAGGAGCATGGTGAAGACAACATGGGCCCTCAGCCTCTCTTCAACCATGAGCACTTGAGGACCACTTGCAGTTCATGGCTGAGGGCCCTCTGGATTGTGGCTGCTTCTCTCAGCCTCCCAGGCTGGGCCTTCAGAACTGGGCAGGCCACTGACGGGATGATGGGCATGGGACTCAGGGCTGGAATGGACCTAAGAGATTATCCAGACCAACCCTGCAACTGAGGTTTGAAAATAATTTCCTAAAAGCATGGTAAAGTAGGAGCTGCCAAAGGGGACCATGTGGAAAACTCAACTCCACGTTCCCCCAGGCCTCCTGCCCAAGCTAGATACTCAAGACTTGAGAGAAGATTATCAACATTCAGAAACAATGTACTGAAGATCAATCAAGAGTACGGCTAAAATGTACAGTAAAATGTAAAGGGCCTTCACCACAGAGATTTCTCACAAGTTTCCTTTGGAGGGAAAGTTGCTATGGTTAGGATAGGTGCAAGAACGACAGCTTCTTGAGGATATCGTGTTGCCCTGAGGAGCTGCCTGTTGCCTTGTGAGTAATTTAAATTTTTTTGGAGTTTTGTCTTTGGAGGCTATGTCTGAGTATTTCACTAGCATATTTAGAAGGAAAAACTGCTGCCACAAGGTCATCCTAGGATTAAGAAAGACTATAGTTTTGATGAGAGGAGCATATACACGGTACATTTGACTCATCTCCACATTTAGATTACTTTTTTGCTCACACATAGAGAATTCAAGGATTTAACATAGTCCATTGACAGGGAGACATAACTAACAAAGCCTGCAGTGTGGACAGACACATCTGTGTCATCTTCCATTTCCTAAAACTGGACAGCAGAGTGATGACAGAAGCACCACCATCTGGCTGTCACTAACCCTATCGTGGGCTCAACATATATCTGGAGAAACAAAAGTACTTTCATATTATGCACAGCTCATGATGATAAACCAGACTAATGGATTTCAACACTTTATGCTATGTATAACTGCTCACATTCCATGCCCCCTCCACCCCCTCAAAAAAACTCAAAATAGTCAAAAGTATTCTAGCAATGAGTTAATATTTAAATACCCACCATATCCTCCATGGTCGTCTTTCATGCTTTGGTTCTCTGAAGCGTTTGACTAAAGGGGAAAAAAAGAGCAGATATTCAGTAGCTTGCCACAGTTGATAAGGAAGCAAAGTGCCTTTAATAAGCTGGGGATCCTCAGCACACTCAGTGTTCATACCACTGAGTCAGGGTACTTGCTCAGGCTTCCCTGGTGGCTCAGATGGTAAAGAATCTGCCTGCAATGCAGCAGACATGGGTTCCAACCCTGGGTCGGGAATATCCTCTGGAGAAGGGAATGGCAACCTATTCCAGCATTCTTGCCTGGAGAGCTCCACGGACAGAGAAGCCTGACAGACTATAGTCCGTGGGGTCACAAAGAGTTAGACACGACTGGGTGACTAACATTTTAATACAGCAGGTAACCTGGAAGACAGGCTGAGCAGGAGCTAGAGGAGGGAGGGTCCTCAGTGCCAGGCCATGGAGCCTGGAATGAATTTGGCAGGAAAGGAAAAGCCAAGGAAGAGAGCTCAACAGAGGCAAAGACACAGAAAAATACAGAGGTGGAAAACCGCCTCTGAATGGTATAGATGGCGGCTTTTCAAGGGCAGGATAGACTAGCAAAGCCCCAGGAAACAGGCAGGGGCCCTCCCAGCCCAGGACAGTGGGGGCAGGGTGCTCATTCAGCAACAGCCTAACCACGATGGATGGCAAAGGGCTCCCCAGACTGACATCTTGACCTCAGGCGGGTCTGCAGGCACAACCGCTTATACAGATGGGAGCAAAAATGTTCTAAGTGCCCTGTCCTCCACTGAAGCCCCAGGCAGGCTATTTCCACAATGACTCGACTAAAACAAACAATGCAAGTGCCATATATATGGGGTTTTCCAACATAAAGTACTGAGGAAGAAATAGACGCGATGGTAGCATGAAAGAATTGACTTCTGGCAGAGTCCCAAGCTGCAGTGAGGATACACAAAGAGGAAAGAGGCAGTGAGGGAGAAACCGGTGCCGAATCAATAAGCCCTACTTCTCTAAATAAATACAGGCAGCCCCCAGTCTGCAAAGCAAGGATTACCTATCCACATAAAAGAAACTTCTGGTGTTTTTAGAGACATTTTGATAGACCAAAAAGCAAGTGAAATTGTGAGGAGCTCTGTCACCCCACTGACATCTCAGATCTAAAACATCAACAAGGCCTCGGAATCTGGAGTTTGAGGGAGGCCCAGAGGTTCAGTGAGCAACCTCCCAGCTCACTTAAGGGCTGGGGGCTCAGGAAAGAGAGGTGAAGGGAGCTGGGCCAGGACAAGCCATCTGGAGGGAAGGCCCACAGGCAGGACTGGGGTACCTCCTGCTCATTTGCTCATCTCCTCAGGGGAATCTGTCCCTAACAGCATAAAATAAGGGATGTTAAAACAACCAAAGAGAACACCCTCATTCTTGGGAGACATGCTGAAGCACCAGAATGGGTGCAATTTACCTCTAAGTGGTTTAGGGGGAAATTATGTTATATATACTAATTATATATAATAGATATATCATAAATGGTATAATTTATAATGTGGAAGCCCTATAATTATACATGATAAATAAAACAAATGTAAGTGATGATTCTATATTAAGTATTTGTAATTCTATTAATATGATATATAAAAAACAAAAAGAAGCAAATACCATGTTATGGGCCAAACTGTATTCCTCCTCCCACATGTCCAATTCACGTGAAGAAGTCCTAACCTCCAGACCCCCAGGATGTGACTATTTGCAGATGGGACCTTAAAAAAGATAATAAAGGTAAGACAAGGTCACATGGGTGGGCCCTAACCCACCATGCCTGGTGTCCTTATAAGGAAAGGAGATTAGGACACACACAGACAGAGGGGTGACCATGAGAGGACACAGTGAGAAGACAGTCACCTTCAAGCCAAGGAGAGAGGCCTCGGGAGAAACGAAGCTGGCCAACACCTTGACCTGAACGTTCACCCTCTAGAATTGTGAGGAAAAAAATCTTTGTTGTTTAATCCACCCATTCTGTGGTAGTTTGTTCTGGCAGTCTTAGCACACCAATACACAGGGCAACACAGTAATTGGTAAACCTAGAGGAAGGACGTTTCAGTATTCATGAAATCGTTATTGAGACGTTTTCCATGGGTCTAGCATTTTCTGAAATGAAAAGTTGGGAGGAAAACACACTCTAGAAGATTGAACCAGTGCCTGCATTCACAGGGCAATCTGGCATTAACTATCAAAACTGTTGATGCCCACAGTCCCTTAACTTGCAGTGCATGGCCAGGTACATACTATACAAGTCTTGCTGCAGCATGTGCCAAGATGCACAGGTCTTCACTGTAATACTCCCGCAACAAAAGCCCAGGAAGAAGCCAACACCATCAACAAGGGATCAAGTATATACATCACATTACGACACAACACCAGGCAGTTGCTAGAAACAAGGTATGTCTGCATGGATTAATATGGGAAGATTAACAAATTATATTAACAAGTAACAGATTCATCCATCTCATTAGAACTGATTCAAATGAATTCTTTTTAATGGCTGAGTAATATTCCATGGTGTATATGTACCACAGTTTCCTCATCCATTCGTCTGCTGATGGGCATCTAGGTTGCTTCTATGTCCTGGCTATTATAAACAGTGCTGCGATGAACATTGGGGTGCACGTGTCTCTTTCAGATCTGGTTTCCTCGGTGTGTATGCCCAGAAGTGGGATTGCTGGGTCATATGGCAGTTCTATTTCCAGCTTTTTAAGAAATCTCCACACTGTTTTCCATAGTGGCTGTACTAATTTGCATTCCCACCAACAGTGTAAGAGGGTTCCCTTTTCTCCACACCCTCTCCAGCATTTATTGCTTGTAGACTTTTGGATAGCAGCCATCCTGACTGGTGTGTAATGGTACCTCAAAAGAATTCATTTGAATCAGTTCTAATGAGATGGATGAAACTGGAGCCCATTATACAGAGCGAAGTAAGCCAGAAAGATAAAGACCATTACAGTATACTAACACATATATATGGAATTTAGAAAGATGGTAACGATAACCCTATATGCAAAACAGAAAAAGAGACTCCGATGTATAGAACAGACTTGTGGACTCTGGGAGAAGGCGAGGGTGGGATGTTTCAAGAGAACAGCATCGAAACACGTATATTAGCTAGGGTGAAACAGATCACCAGCCCAGGTTGGGTGCATGAGACAAGTGCTCGGGCCTGGTGCACAGGGAAGACCGAGAGGGATCGGGTGGAGAGGGAGGTGGGAGGGGGGACCGGGATGGGGAATACATGTAAATCCATGGCTAATTCATTTCAATGTATGACAAAACCCACTGCAATGATGTAAAGTAATTAGCCTCCAACTAATAAAAATAAATGAAAAAAAAAATTTACAACAACAACAAAAAAAAAACAAGTAACAGAATACCTACCATGATTCTGTTCAGATCCATGTTTTAAAAATATACATTCATGCTGATATTACCCATGGGTTATTTTTTTCCCCTAGGATTAATGTTAAGTGACTGTTAACAAGGGCTCCCTTTGATGAAAGGAATTATGGATCAGGGAGTAGACTTTTTATATCATTCTGAATGGTTTAACACTCTTCCATGTTCATACTGCTTTTATAAAAAAAAAAAAAAAAAAAGGCCAACCCCATCACAGACTTGTACGAATGCAGCAAAATGGGGAAAAGTGATGTGATCCACAGCTGGGTTCTGTGACAAGAAAGGGAGAGGAAGAGTGTGTGCAGGCCATCCATGCCTAGGAGCGCCCGTGGCGGGACGCAGAGTACATTCAGATTCTCCTGCTTTCTCCCTTTCCACCCCATTTCCCTAGAATATATATAGGGAATAAATATATATATAAATATATAGAGAGAATAAAATAATATAGGGAATAAATATATATAGGGAATAAAATATATATTTTTTAGACTATGATATATTTAAGTAAATGAAGACATTAAGAAAGCTACTCCAGATCTAATTTGGACAAGAATAGAAGAACCCGTTCACCCATCCCTGTTTTACTCAGGGGCATGCTGTGTGAGAGGGTCTGTTTAGCAGCAGATGAAATAAATAAAAATTTCCATTTTCCTTACACTCAGGTGGGGAGAAGCATGTCAGAGAGCAACAGTGGAGGAGAGCAGGAAAGCAGCAAAGGGGCCTCGGAAGCGGGTGCGCAGGGCCGGCTGAGGAGGCCTGGCAGGTGATCATCGCTCTCTGGGAACCCCCTGTGTCTGCGAAAGAGCCATCAGGCCGAGGGCTGAGGCCAGGGACTGCGGGAAGTACGGGACACGAGGTAGGTCTCCCAGGGTGAAGGCTCCCCTCTGCCCACAGCGACCCGGCGGCAGGAGCAGGGCAGGGCAGCTGTGGCCGCAGTCCAACAGGCTCAGCCCCTGCTGTGCTGTGCTGAGCAGTACGCAGGCAAAGACCATTACGAGAACCCAGGATGAGGCAGTGGTGGCGTGGCCTGCTGGTAGCAGGAGAGGACGAGAGGAGGTGGGCTCCTGGCTGTATCTTCAACACCGAGCCGACAGGGTGGGGGGTGGGGGTGGTATGAGAGGAAGAAAACAGTCCAGGAGGACTCCAGAGCTGGGAACTTACATGGTTCCACTGCACTTCCGGTTTCGGTTTGGGGGTGGTGAGAAATGGAAAACTGGGGAGACACACTCCTCTACAGGGAAGAGACAAAGAACTGCCTCCGAGTCCCTGATGGATGGTGAGAAAGGTAACCAGTCTCATGGACACAGGCCTGCTTCCCACAGGGGTCTGGCAGCTGCCCCCTCAGAAGCTCCACAGTTTCTCAGGCACAGCCCTGGGACAATCCATCTTCTCTCAATGCCTAGTGCTCCTGCAGGATGGAGACAACTCAGAGGGAGCAAGCGGCCAAAGCAGCACGCAATCCATCCTTTCCCGCACATCCACCAACATCCCCTGAGGCTGGAGGGCTAGTGGAGGGGAAGCAGGCAAACCTGAAGGGTAGGTCAAGCCCCTGATAAGAAGGGACCCTGGACTTGGAACCCAAGGTTGATGGAGCAGCACCTGACAGAGACCTTC